GCCCATGTAGTTTTTTATGCAGAAAAAAATATGAAAATCTTTATTCTGCTACATGTGCTCCTAGGCTGTGTCCAAACAAGTGTACATTCTTAAATTTCTTGACTTTTTTGATGAATTGAACCAAAGAGGGGCCAACAACATGAGTTTTTGCCACACCTTGAAAATAGCTGATTTTTTGGACCGTTTTTGGTAAAAATAGCCAATAACTCGTTTTGACTGGTTCGATTACATTGGTTCCATACAACCAATCAACTCGAAAGAGCCTAAATGAATAAAAGGTCAATAAAATATTTAATCAAAAACTCCAAACGACTTACAATAAATTACTTACAATTACTGTTAGATAAAATCTTTCTGATGGTTCTGATACACCTGATTGGACATAGTCTAGGCGCGCATTCAGTTTGTTATGCAGAACAAAAGTATGAAAATTCTTTTCTCCGCCAAATGCGTGCCTAGACTGTGTCCAATCAAGTGTACATTCGAAAATTTCTTGACTTTCTTAATTAATTTAGCCAACCAGATACCAATAACACGAGTGTTTGCCACAGCTTGGAAATGTTGTTTTGTTAAATCATTATAATGTTTTATATACACGGTGTTTGAATGGGTTTTTAAACTATTAATATTATTAATATCTGGACCGGATCCACCCTTAATTGATTAAAATCTGGTTTAATCACTAAATTGCGCATTTTCTGTCAAAAATCAGCAACTTTAAGAAACGAGATTTTAAGTTTTGATCACATTAATCGAATTCCTTTCGAGTCAAAGACGAGAGAAGTGATGATTGTGTTAAATTGTTTCACTGTATAAGCAAAAATAATGTTACCAGCTCAACAATTTGATCTCATTTGAAAATTACCTTTAATCACTTGTTGATTGAAAATATTGAACATTCTTTAGTTTCCCCGAGCTGATTGTTCAAGCCACCATTGGGATACTTGTCAAAGTAACTTTATGCATCGCCAATTCCAACTCCTTAAGCCACATGATTTATGATGATTCTGATACACCTCATTGGCCACAGTCTGGGCGCTCATATTGCAGGATAAGGTATGAAAATTCTTTATCCTGCAATATGTGCCCCTAGCCTATGTCCGATCAATTTTTTATGAATCGAGCCAGAGAGGGAAGAACAACACAAGTGTTTGCCACACCTTGAAAATATAATAGTATAAATAGCAATACCTGAAAAATAGACAAAAAGTAAATTACGAACTCCAATCAACAATTTAATCTAATTTTAAAATTACCTTTAATTACTCCTTGATTGAGAACATTGCGTTGCTGCTGAAAAGCTTGACCTGAACCACGACTAGTTTCGCCAAATTTCAATGCGCTGTTTATTCAATTTCACTCCAAGATCGAGGCTTATGAATCCTGAATAGTTGACTGAAAATTGTCAGTTTGTTACTGATGAATGTCCATGTTATCATGTTCCCCCTTTGGGATCAAAGTAAGGTCAAAATCTGATTTTCGACAAGTGAAGTTGTGAAAGAGTGTGCAATAAATGGGTTCCCTGTAAGCTCACCACATTCAAGCTTTTCAATATACAGAGAGTCAAACCCTTTTACAACTCTAAATAAATCTCATCACTAATCATTCACTGATATGGCAAGTAAATTTATGATTTTTATATATGACTCATAATGACAGTACTTGACATAATCCACATTAAAAACCTTAGATTTAATTTTAAAAGATCACTTGATCTGATCTAAAATTAAATGTCCTATGTTGTCTCTCTTTAGTCCGTAAAACCTTGCTCTTACCGAAAACGATAACCAAGAAATGAATGTTAAACATAAGCAAAGAAAACGATGAACAAAACTTACGAAATGGAGCTTGTGAACCAGTTTGTAGGAATGGATGGATTTTGAAAAAAGCGATTAAATGTTTCATATTAAATTTGGTGAATTTGATCTACACACCAGACAACCAGTTCGCTTTCCCTTCTCGAGATCCTCATAATTTGACCATTGATAACCAACATTTGGCAATTTTCAGTCAGCTATTCAGGATTGCATTAATTGAGGAGTCAACTTTAAATGACATTGACTTTTACCCCAACGGGGGTTATAAAAAATCGGTTAGTTTAACCTGATAATCACCGTTTGGGTAAAAACAAATGGCACTTAAACATCTCCAATCCCAAGTCCTCCAACAGCATGTTACCTTAATCCTTGGTCCTCAGTCAACTGTTCAGGATTGATACGCATTAATTGATAACTTTAGATTATACTGACTTCTACCCCAATGATTTTCATAGGGGATACATTCGGATAGAAGTCAATGCAATCTGAAGCATCTTCAATTCCAAATCCTTCATCCACATGATTTCTTATTATTCTTGTACTGACTCATAAGTATATTGCTCATGTATCTGGTTATGCAGAAGATTGGTAGAATAACTGGATTAAGTTCAGTGGTCATTTATCCAATTCGCTGAATATCGTGGATGCTAGAAAAATTAACTAGCTAGTTATTTCGCAAACTTGTTATGGTAAACTTACATGACTATCGATTGTCCAGTTGTTAAGTTATTTATAAATTTAGTCTCTGGAATGGCTCATCACAGCATGGCTTTCAATTACACGGTAAGAGAAGTAAAAGGCTGTAAAGAATTGAAATGATTAACGATAATTGGAAATTTTGATTGTCGAATATAACAATGATTGAAACATTGAACCTTCTTTAGTTTCCCCCATGCAGGTTGCTCAAGACACCATTGGGATACTTGCATTGTATCAGAGTAACTTTATGCATCTCCACTTTATGCAAATGACATTGACTTTTACCCGAACGGGGGTTATAAACAATCGTTCAGTTTAACCTGATAATCACCGTTTGGGTAAAAACAAATGGCACTCAAACATCTTTAATCCCACGTCCTCCAACAGCAATAGCCAATAAGGTGTACATTTGGAAATTTTTCGCAGCTTGGAAATAGTTAATTGTTTAAGACTTAAGGATTTACAAATGCGAATAATCTCCGTGTTACTATTGATAGATGCGAATAACACGTTGAGGTAATTCACACTGAAAATCAATTAACAAATTATCAAATTCATCGAAAGAGCCTGAATGAATAAAAAGTCAACAAAATATTTACGAAAAATTTTAAACGACTTAAGATTAAAGTAAACTTACTTTAATTGTTGGCCAAAAGTCTACTGGATAACAGTTAGAATGATGAAAGCTTGAATAGGCTTCATGTCTTATTAAGATGAGGAAAAACTTTTTTTGGTTATTCAGGTTGACGGTCAATTGTTGAATTAGGAAGATATGTAAAACTGTCTTTCGAGTAAAGAGTTAGGTGAAAAATATGGTGCCTCAACTGTGCGAAAAGATACCAAAGTTTCAACTTCGAACCCAATTTCGTCAATGATTGTTCATCTGCGAAACTTTTTAATTCAAAAAGTGGAATCAATTTTATGCCTTTGAAAAGGTTCAAGAACTGTAACCATTCTTGCGATTAAAAAGTTTCTCTGATCGAAGGTTTTGATAAAATCACTTTCAAAGCTCAACCTTAGATTTTACTTTGTTCAGTTGTAGAACCAGATTTCATTTTACTTTTAGGTTTCTCACATTAACGATGGGTTTTCATCATCAGATTATAGTATTCGACTACGACTAGTATTTACCTTTTGACAGAAGCAATTGAAATTCATTCATCGACCGAATGCTTGGAATGCAAAGCCATATGTTCATAGTCACCATTGGGATAAAAATCAATGTCACTTGGAGCACCTTCAATCCAAAGTCCTCAAATCACAAGAGTTTGAATGATTTCACTGAAGAAATTTTCAGGCTTAATTTTTCTGAAACTGTGGCCAATTAGGTGTACATCTGAAAATTTCAAGCCAGGAAATTTCTACAATTTTTGAATACTTCTTTGCAGTAGATTGGCGAAATGATTGATTGTTTAAGACCCATTTGACCAGTCTACTCCGCAAAAGTATTTAAAATTAATTGACTTATAAGGATCTGCAAATGTAAATAATCTGAAAATGGATGAAAAAATAGAAGGATAATGTCTTTCGAGTAAAGAGTTAGGTGGCAATATGGCGCCTCAACTGTACGAAAAGAAACCAAAGTTTCAACTCCGAACCCAATTTCGTCAATGATTTCTCTTCTGCGGTTCATCGTAAATCCAAAGTTTTTCAAGCACATGATGATTCTGATACACCTGATTGGGCACAGTCTAGGTGATTCCACAAAAAAGCTGCATGAGCATTAAAATTTTCAGTCTTCTCTAAATTTAGGTTACTGAGAAAATGTAGAGTCCGCATCTCTTACTATTGATTCTAATGAAGCTTTCCTATGTTTCTCGTTTAAAAGAACCAGAGAAAAGCTGGAAATTGTTCAAAATCCAAAAGTGAAAAGTAAAAGTAAGTCTAATAATATTTCTCATACTTCTGATACTAACGTGTTAATCAATGTTGTTTCAATTATCGAGATAATCAAATGTTCTTGAAATGTGACTTTTCTAGGCCTTGCAACTGATATCTTCAAGTTTTGTGTTTATAAAAATACAATTGTTTCAACAGTTCTTTGCATTTCACATCACCTTTCAACAGGTAAGAGCAATGTTGAAATGATATTCATGTGTCAATTTGTATCTCTAATTTGTCCTCCAAATCGAGTAAACATATTTATTCCTTTCATCTAGTAATCAAGTTAATAAGATGTTGTTGTAGTTGAATTATATTCATGTATATCAGTAAAAAACTTTGAATGCAAGGACAGTTATTGTTAAAAATAAGATTCATGGAATAGTGAAATGAATGAAAAATAAACAAGATGCTTATAGTTCTTGACATAGTTAATCAATTAATAATATCACCTTAAATCAAAGTAATGTCATCAATGATTGCTAATTGCATTAAATTGAACAACTTAATAAATAAGATAAGATTTGAAGCAATTGAAAATATCGACAATCTAAACACTCAAATTGTCCATAATAATGGAAAGCTACTTTATAAATAGTGGTAAACACATCGTCTGCATCTAACCGTATAGTTTCAAGTTCAAATCAACACTTTATTGACTAGAATATCCATTTAGGATTATTACCATGAAAAATAGTGATTGATTAATTACAAGTGAAAATGAAATTAATTATTTTATGCTTTTTATTCCTATCGTTTAAACAAACCATAGGAGACTTTGTCTGTCCACGTAAGTTTATTTACTTTTCACCTAACAGCTGGCAAAGGGTTATGAGATTAACTAATTTACTTTACCTTTATTTGTGAATAGCTGAAGCGACGGATAATTTTCTTCCTGATCCAAACAATTGTGAAGTCTTCTATCGATGTTCTCATGGACAAAAGTTTAGCTTTACATGTGGACCTGGGACAGTATTTAACCCATCAACAAATAACTGTGACTGGCCATCGTCTGTAGGATGTAATCCAGAGTCGGGTAGATACAAAAACCAGCAACCTGGTTATCAACAACCAAATCCTCCTCAACCAAATTATCCTTATGACAATGATTACTACAATCAAAATAGGCAAGTTGTTCCTGAAAGAAATGTGAAGCCAGTGTCCAATCAAAACAATCCATGGGACACTGGTGCCTATCGAGGGTCTGATGTTGGTGTAAATGGTGGTTCATCCAGTCAAAAGGGACAACGTGAATCAACAGGGAATTATGATGTTGGACCGAGTAGCAGTTCTGAGAGTAAAACAGAGATTTGGAACCCAGGTTATCCAAGTTCAGGAAGACAAGGTGTTCGTAATGAAGTGAGACCAGAGGAGCAAAATCAACCTTATGGAACAACAAGTAGACCTAGAAATCCTGGTTTTGATAGTAATCGTGGAAATGAAGATCAACAACAAGGCAATCAAAAGAAACTTGTGAATGAGAGACCAAATCCATGGGAAGAAAGAAATTCTGCCAACAGAAATCCAGATAACAGACAAGGAGTTAGAGGTAATCAAAATAAACCTTATAATCCCCAGCCGAATGCGAGATATGATGATGATAATGATGACAAGTTAGATGAACGTTCATTTAGGGTAAGAGGTAAACCAAATACCGAAAATGAACCCAAATCTATTGAGTCTGATGGTAAGCATCCATGGAAAGTACCAACTCCTCGAAAAGATTCATCAGTTGACTGGAATGAAATGACATCTAAATCACCTTTAGATTCAGAAAATGTGAACAAAGTGTATGATGATCCATATTCACCAACATCGCCAAGCTCAGCTAATATCGAAACATGGCAAAAGCCTGTAGCAGGTCGTAATCATCCAACAGTTGATAAACCGTACCAAACACAAGATCCTTTCAATGGTCCAAAGTCTCAAGGTTATAATCCTTACAGCAGAGATCAAACAAACTCAAGAAATAGATATCAAAATCCATCTCAAGGCGAAGCAACTTCAAGTTTACCTGATAGTCCAATAGTTTATCGTCCTTCACCGAACTCACGAAACCAAGATCGAGATAATCGAGTCAATACACCAAGACCAGATGATCGAAGAAACAAAGTACAGGAAAAGGAATCTTGGGAACCCGAACGAGTTCCTTCTTTTTCTAAAAATATTGAGCCTTCTCCTGATCTTGCACGCGATCCTAATGAGCGTAAACAAGGTAAACCTCAACAAGGCACTAATGAACCAAGGGAACAAAACCGTTGGGTTAACCCAAAAAGTAGACAAGATCAAAATCCAAATGAACGCTTTGATAACCAACGTCTAACCCCAGCACAAAAGTACAATAAAGACACAAACAAAGATGCAGATGATTTAAATCAATCACAACAATCGAAACGAACCAAACCAGATGATCGATGGAATAAAAATGAACCTCCTTATAGAAGAGAAGAAGATGTTTGGAATCAGAGAAACAGAAATCCTTACAATTCGCAGGACAGAGATGGAAGTGCTTATGGTTCACCGGAGAGAAACACCGATTCAAATAGAGATGATCCAGCGACTCAAACACAATGGTATCGACCAAAATTGACAACGACAACAACTGAAGCACCCCAATATGAAACTCCATTGCGTTCATATGATAACAGATGGAGAGATCCTAATGCGTCAACTTCACCTTATGCTGATAAACGTCCTGAAGCGAGATCTAATCCAAACCCAAGACCAGTTTATCGTCCAGATAGACGACAAGGTGAACTCAGACCAGTGCCAAGTAACCAAAGACAAAACCAAGGTGGACAAAGGTTACCTCCAAGTAAAACCAATAATGATCGGTTGAATCAAGACAACTATCAAAACAGACAAAATCCAATCAAAGAGGATCCTCGTGATGTACAGCAAAAAGAAGATGATTTTCAAACTTTCCAGTCAAGCAATATTGAGCCAAGATTTCCTGATGAATCTGAAGTTGCTCAGGTGATGAATGATATGTACGTAAATGATCCTTACTCAATGCCTGATTTGATGACGAATCTTCCATGTAATGAAACAACTCTGCCTGACTGTGATAAATGCCAAAAATTGAGATGGCTCAAGTTAAACCAAGTTACTCTTAAATCGCAACCTGATGAAGCAATCAAAACCTTGCCTGAATACATTGCAACCGATTGTTTCCGACGTTGCCATTCACAAGGCTGTGTCGCTTACACCTACAATAAAGGCAAAGGTCATTGTAAACTCTATTATGGAGCAGTTCATGAAAGCAACATTGGATCAGATTCTGATTATATAACAGTTATCAAAGAGCCCACTTCAGTTTTAATAGCAGACCAATGGTTGTACACTGATAACTCAGAGCCAGTTGGAAAAGACATGGGACAGTTCACATCAGATGATTCAATTAGTTGCCTTCGTGCCTGTGTCAATGTTGGTGATCATTGTAAAGCTGTAAGCTACAACTCTGCCAGTCAACTGTGCAAAATTTACGATTCAATGAATGGTGAACATTTAACTTTGACTGGAGGAGGAATAATTACATTACAACACAAAAGCATTCACAATAAAGACGATTCTTGGAGATTTTCATCTTTAGGAGCTAAAAAATTCAACACAAGCATACCAATCACGTCTTTTGCTATTCGAGAGGATCAAGAATGTTACGAAGAGTGTCTCAATGTTCAAGGCTGCCTAGCAATTGCAATTGAAGGACGATCTCCCAAAGAGTGTCATGTTTACAATAATTTAGATTCATTATCAAGCGATGAAAGCTCGTCTTTCAACACATATTTAGTTAAAATACCGACCAATTCATCATACTTCATTAAATTGCCAGGAATTTATTTCTCTGGCAAACCAATTGCTAAATACGACAATTTTGCCCTGAAAGATTGTCAAGAAGTTGTCAAGAGTCTTCCAAATGCAATGAAAGTCACCTATTTACAGGAAAGTCAAGTTTGTTATGTCTTCTCTGATGCTGCTAAGATTGGAAGTTGGAAGAATCCAGAAATTGAAGCTATCTCTTTCCTCGTCAATTTACCTTCTGATCCAAAATATTTTGCTTACAAACGACTAACTGGACTTACATTGACAAACGCATTATTAGCTCCTAAAGGTGAAAAACTTATTGGTACTCAATCAGCTGCACAGTGTTTGGATAGTTGTCTAAAAACGGATAATTGTTCAGCTGTTTCTGTTACTTATTCAGATGTTCAAGATTCAATTGAATGTATTTTATTGAAAGATGATGAGCTCACTGGTAAACCAAGATTTGTGTTTAAAGAAGACACAGACTTATTTGTTCGAACACTTCCTACTAATCTGGTTCCTGAATTGGGCGAGAAAGATGACCATTGTTCTTTACGAATCAATGCACCTTCAGCAAATGACAATTTACCTTATTTTGAAAAGGAAAAGTCGAAGAAACAAACTGAACCTAATTTATTGGAAAAGGCTGAACATTATCTTCAAAAGGCTAACCCATTTCACAACAAGAAATCATCACAATTGAATCAACGGGATGAGGAGGAAAATAATCATGGCGTGTTAATCCCTCATGGCCCTGAGTTTGAGGGAATGATTGAAAATTTAGAGGAAGAAGGTGAAGAGCAAGGATACAGAAAGGAACGATCAAAAAGGTCTATTTATGCAATGACTTTAAGAGGAGCTGAAGTTTATGATGCAGCAATTGATCAAAATTCAGATAAAAATCCTCTGGAAGCTGGCGCTGAAGCTGGTTTTGCTGTTCGGGAACTTCTAAGTGGAGCTCTGGGAATTAGTGATACTAATGCGACTGAAAATATCTTACTTTCACGATTTTTGAAACGAGCTCAAGACGTTTCCCAAAATCCTCGTCTTGAAGAAGATATTGTAAGCCAAATCAAGTCATCAGCTCGAAAGGTTCGATCCCATGATGATAAATCAGACGATGATTGGAAACCATGTAAAATAACCAAAGGATCAACAGTTAAGGAAATTAAATGTCGCCCTGATGAAATTTGCACCCACACTCCTGTCATTATTCATGGGGAAGAAAAGGCTTTGACAAACTGTTCAGGAACCAGAGTCAACAGCACTTGTACGGTTGTTTGTAAATCGGGTTACAAGGCAGTTAAAGATAAGCTAGTTTGTGAAGCTCTCGGGTCAAATCCAACCTGGAATACCAAAGACGTCTCGTGTGTTGCGGATGATTCTATGTGCTCAGAGCTTCCCTGGATTCCGTTCACTACGATCAAACCTGGTTCGGGTGAGAAAAAGCTTAATTATATTGTGAAGTACGATATGAATAAAAAGTTGCCATTATTTGGAGTATACAAATTTACTGTCAATGACAAACAAGAAACTAGCAAATTTGGTCGTCTTCAAGAAACTGACGATGATTCAGTTGTGTCACTGCCATGTTCACAGTTAAAACAAAATCAACTTTCCAACATGAACTATAAACAGAGCAATTACACAAGAGGTTACTTAGTGCCACCAAGTGCATTTATTCACGATTCAGATGCTCGTAGATTAACTAACTACTATGTCAACACTGCTCCACAAGAACCTTACATTTCCCAAGGCCCATGGCATTCACTTTCAAATACAATTCATGCGTACCTCGAAACATCCAAACAACCGGGATTCATCATCAATGGCGTTTGCAGTCAACAAATATATTCACCGGCAACCTCTGCTCTTCCAGTACCTAAATGTTTCTGGAAAACGGTTTGTACAAGAACTCAATCAGGACAAGTAACTGCGGCAACATTTTATCACGACAATCAACTAATAAGTGGAGATGAGTCGAGCAAAAAGAAGTCTTTGGAGGAAATATTCAGTTACACTAATCCAGAATTTGTTAAAACATTGGTTGGCAACAAGGAGTATGATTCACTTTGGCCAGAAATTTTAGACAGATTCAGTACTTCATCTAGTAAGTCAACACATATCTTTATTTTTTGGCCATTTTTCAAGTTTATTAACATTTATTCAATTTAATCTTTCAGGTAAAACTGTTAACGATGAAATGATGATTCTTCAATGTGCTGGAAGTACTAAAATTGATCCCAAGCATATTGATTTCTGGAACTCACTTTTATCAAACGGAACTGATGTGTCTGGAAATGACGTTCAAAATGATTTAGCTACTTCAGAATCACAAGCATCTCCAACGTGGTCACAAAAATTAACTGAATCATCAAAGACCTCACCTAATGGTTGCGATAAAAAGCTCATTGCTTACATTGGATTAAATGAAGATGAAATAAATGAAAAGACAATCGGACCTTCAGTCACTCATTTAACTATACTTGGAGCCGTTAAAATAAATGAAAATGGAAGTTTAAGTTTCGGTAATGATACAAAGAAGATTCACGATCGACTTTACGCTTTAAAGTCATTGAAAAGCACTAACCCTTCTTTGAAAATTATGATTGCATTGGGAGGTTGGGATAACTCACAATATTTCAGCAAAATTAGTCGATCACCAAGTCATCAGAAAATATTCATCATGGACATTCTAGCATTCCTAGACTATTGGGAATTTGATGGTGTTGATATCATTTGGCAATATCCTAATATTGGAGGAAAAGTAAAGGGTTCAGGAGAAGATAAAGATAATCTGAATCGATTAATGCAAAACCTAAAGGATTCAATGGTTGATCATCAAAGCAGAAATGGGCGAAGTCTACCTTACTCTCTTGTCCTAACAGGACCAGGTTTATATTGGATTTTGGATTATGGTTACGACCTGAAAACTCTTATCAACCATGTCGATTGGATCAATATTATGGCTTTTGATTTCCATGGTCCTTGGAACTCATCTTGGGGTGATTACACTGGCCCAATGGCCCCCCTCTATTTCGGTGCACCCGAAGGTTTTCCTGGTAAATTAAATATCGATGCAATTGTTAAAAGATACATTTGTGAAACTGGTAGACCTGATAAACTTGTTCTTGGTGTTGGTTTCTTTGGAAGAGCTTGGACCAATGTTGGAAATCATGTGGACGAAAGCAAAGACGATCTTTTCCGAAAAGCAAGTCCTTTGAAGAATGGGTCAAAAGGATCAATGGTTAGCTATCGTAAAATCCGTCAAGAATGGCTGAGCAAAGGTGAACCCATTTGGCACAACAAAACTCAGACAAGCTTCATTTGGAACAGAATGAAACGTTCATTGATTTCATTTGAAAGTGAAGATTCAATTAAAGGAAAGGTTTCTTTCGCTGAAAGTAAAGGTCTTGGTGGACTAATGATTTGGTCACTTGATATGGATGATGAAGATAAAACATTATTAAAAGCTATCGGAAATGGTTTAAAATGCAGAAGTGATAAAAATTCAATTTCTCATTCTTATAAATGTAATCCATTAACTGAGAAGAGACATTGGACTCAATATGATGATGATGGAAGTAAAGACCGTTTATGTGGTAAAAGAGCTCCTTTAATCAATGGACACTATCCAATCTGTGACCCTGATGACCCAGGCTATAGCTGTTGCTCGGCAAGTGGTTATTGTGGCTCTGGTCCACAGTTTTGTGAATGTGAAGGTTGTGTTGATTACAGTTTAAACCCTGATCGAGCTTTGAATGATTCAATTGCCCCTAGTTCACCTTCGGTTACTTGGCTAACGACCGATGTAATTCAAGATGCTAGCAAGTCAGATTGTGGTTTTAACGCTCAGTCATTGGTCAATGGTTCACGCCCAACATGTAATCCTGATGATCCACAGAGACACTGTTGCTCATCAACAGGCTTTTGTGGTACCGGGCCAGATTATTGTGAGTGCAAAGGGTGTATTAATTTCAATACCAACTCAACAAACTCTTTTCCTGAGAAAAATTGGTTCGATTGGAATGATGGCCCTGAAAATGCAGGCCGGTGTGGCCCTCGTGCTCCAAGAATAAAAGGTCGTCTTGCCGGTTGTGACCCTTCATCTGAAACAGCTAATTGTTGTGGACCTAATGGCTATTGTGGCACTGGGCCTGATTATTGTAAATGTAAAGAGTGTGTTAATTTCACGTTAAAACCTAACTTTGACTGGAGTTGAAAGGTTCATCACAGTCTGTAGATGTTATAGTCAATAGTAAATCAGCTTCAATGTAAATAAATTAGCTAATCTTTGTATCAAGAAGCAATAAAATAAATCAAATTACATCCAAATTTATGAAATCAAGAATCAATTCTTTAATCAAGACTCAACTCCTAATAGCTTGTAAATTGAAACCAACTAACCAAAAGATGACATGACATGAACCAACATAAAGGTTTTAAGATATCATTCAAGTTAAAATGAATAGATAATCATAATTACACAATTTAAATGGAAAATTACTAACAGAAAATAATCGATCAAAGCTTATCAAATAAAATATCATTAATATAAATCTGGTAAACTTAAAGGAAACCTGAAATTGAAGTCTTCCATGAAGTTATCAAATAATAACAGATAACCATTGATGATGAAACTATCCAATTAGATTTTTTTGTTTATTTTTCATTGAGCAACCCTTGATAATTAAATTGGAGGACTGGGTTTAAATAGTTACATTGTATTACGTGGGAAAAGGGTTGATCTTTGCCAACTAGCTAAGCCATGTTTAGATAGTTGGCAGAGACCAACTAATGTAAGCAAATAACATTTCACAATTTAAGTTACATTTCTGTCAAAACCAGCAATTATGGAATTATTTAATTGAATTTTATTATTTATTTGACATTGAACAACATAGATAATTAACTTGGAGGACTGTAAATCAACATGATAAAGTACTTCAGTAAAATGATTGGTGCAAATTGAAATAAACTCAAAATGAAAATCTATTTTCAGCATTAGATATCATCTTATAAGATAATCAATCCATCTAGTCTGGTTAATTTTCATAACTGTTGAAAATATTGGCTTAACTTGCCGTTTTGATTCTTGACTATGACACGGAAAGTTAACTGCATTAGCCGCCTTGATAGTGAATAAGATTTATAATTAAACATTGACTATAAGTAAAAGGCAAACATTATGGGAGATATAATAAATTTAGTAACCAGTTAAGTACTGGTATAGAAATTAAAGAATTACTGAATTTGCGTTAATTTTTGCCAGAATCTCTGATTATTGATGATTAAACATTGATCAAATGATTGTAAATAATAGTGATAACTGAAAAACGGATTGATTACATCTCCAGAAGAGTCAAGCACCAGTTAGGTGGTGCTTAGGTGATCAAGTTGATCATTTCGTGAAGTTAGAGATGCATGCTTTTCATGAAATTTCAACAGTTTAAGTGAGTTATCTTAACAATTAAAGAACTGATAAATTGATAATGACGCTTCTCAAGTGATCTGTGATTGTTTCTGTGATTCGGAAAAAACCAAATTTTCAAAATATGTGATGCTCTTATTAGTTGCAGAATTATGGATTTGCGTAATTCAAGATATTGATTCTAATTTGAGTCGTCTGAAAATAAATACAATGTATTTCATAGTTTCTAAAAGAATCAAAATAAACAGTAGAAAAGATTATCTCAAAATAAATGACGTCGTAGTTTCTTTTTTTATTGCTTTTCTAAGAAGCCGTTAATTCAGCCGATATCAGAGGATAAAATACCTTTGTTTGGCACTTTCCCAGTAGCTTAATTACGAAGGATATCAATTAATCCAGACATCTTAGACGGTAAAAGTAGAGAGGCTTGGAGTGTTTACACCGAGATGATGCAAAAAGTGATCTTCTTTCAAAACAATTAAATCAATAGAAACAAATTTCACTTGACCACAGTGAAAATCTTGCTCTTGATCAAGATTCCTTGTCAATCCTATTTGTTTCCCATTTCTCATATAAAAATGTTTGTAGAATCAATTTTTGCAGCATTGTTTTAGGTAAGTAGGGATGAACAGATTAAAAATAAATTTTGGAGACACATTAATCGAAGAGAAGAAAAGTGAAGAGAGAAGATGGAAATTAGAGATTTAAAATGGACAATCAAAAGAGTTGATGTACCTTTATTTTGTTACGATAACAACAAGACATGTAAAAACTGGAGCAAACAAAGAACGTAAACTTTTTCAAGATGAAATGTAGACAACATGATCACTTTGTTTTTCAGTGAATCCAGAGAAAATTAAATGTCAAGTTGCTAACAATCACCGATTCTGCGAAGGAAACGAAACGAATAAAGAGAGAATAGCAAACGATTTGAGATTGACAAAGAAAGTCAGAAAATTGCAAACAAAATTAGATGAAAGATGTAACCCTGAAATGAATCACAAAGACTAAGAACGAAGTTGAGCGCAGCCTTGAGCTTGAATTCAAGGTTGAATATTTGTAAGACTGTTAGATGTAATTCCTCCGGAAGACAGAAAGTAAGTTATTTAACTGTCTTTAACTGTCTAGACATTATCGATTGGATGATCAACAAAAATATTACAGAAAATTGAGTTTAATCAATGCCATCTATTAGTCGATTCATTTTGCATTATATCTTAGTGAGTTATAAAAACACAAGAGGGAGCCAGGTAACGCGCTATAATAAATGATTAAACGAATCCTTAAATTATGTAATCTAAACAAATCGTTCAAATTATCTCAAGTTACTTAATAATTTGCCGTTATTTTTTCACTATTTTATGGTTTTACTTCCGATGTCATCTGTCTTTTGAGCTACTAATTACAGTTTATTATGGATAGAAGCTGTTGAATATTTGCTAATTGAATTTGATCTTGATTCTTGTTTGTTTACAAAAATCCTGTGTATCATCAACATAGCTTTTATCAAATTAACTTTGAATAAACAAACTGGTGTAACCATCTAAACTCGTTAATATTGGAATCCAGGTTTGTTGATGTGCAAAAGTGATGAAAGGTAAATGAAACTTTCCATGCTTTCTCTTATTACTGTTATGTTTTAGCTTGACATTGATGAAGCAACAAATAGCATGATAAAAGTATCGCTGAACGTTTATTTGCTAGCTCTAATGTTATGGTACCGAGTCCGATAAAAATGAGTATCTTGTTTACAATCTCATTGTTTTTCTCTTTTCAATAGGTGAAACTAATAGTTATTCCAGCTTGAAGATGGGAAATGCTAGCCTTCATTTTTGGTCTCAATCGGAGGCAACTTCCGCAGCAACAACAGCCCAAAATGAGAGGAGAAAAGATGACCAAGGAAGATTGGAGAGAGAGAGAGAAGAAGATAGAAAGATCAAAGTAAGTTGTATTATATTTTGTTAAATGTGAAATTTTGTAATTGTAATTGAATTTGCCGGTCTCCCATAATTATCTATCTGAATAGACTAAACCAGTCCCGCAAAATATCGATCAAAGCAGAGAGACAAGAGAAATGCAAGTTGGAAAAGGCAATGATACAAGAACGGCTTGAGCCATTTCCAAGCCACAAGGGAAACACGGACAAGTACATGTTCATGAAAAGAAAGTGTAACTATAAACATTGGTCATTAGGGTTGTGGAAAAATGGCCTGATATCAATCATATTTGAAATAATAGAAGGCAAGGAAGCCAGTTAAGTTCTTAAGGTTCATTTATTGCTCTTGACCATCTTTTGACCATTTCTTTCTCTCTCTTTTTCAGTGCTACTTTTTCCAGCCCATTCTAATTGTGGACAATGAAAAATATTTTCCAAGCCAATAATTGGTCTTCTAACCCTTTTTTTATGTCTGCTGGTAACCATTGTATTATGTATATAATACATTATAATAGTAATAATGATGTGATGTTTGCCGATAACTTAATAATGATTCAAGCTGATGATTATAATTTAAAAATTGAAGCCGGACACTGGCCACACAAATCTACACACGCAACCTCTATTGATGCATAAAAGAGGAAGCACATAAAACGGGAAAGATTGTAAATTAAAGATGAAATAGCTTAAAGGATTACAAGGATAATTATTACATGATGTCTCTGGAACTGTTATCCAGGAAATCCTGATCCTCCATCAATCTTTTCTCAGCTTCTCTTCAAACAATAATCCATATTCTCATAAAAACCAACAATCATTTATTTGCCCCAATCAGTGACTGGAATCATCGTGTTAGACTGCATTGTCTAACTGTTTTATAAATCAAGTTTTCAATCTTGAATGGGACGATAAAATGGATGGTAAAGAACGGTTCTTCAACAACAACAACAAAACAGATTAGGATTATGAGGATGATGGTAATGGTGTGAACAACGATGGAAGAGGATTAAAGAAAGGCTGTTCATGCAAAGAGAAGGATGATGAATAAGAGTAGGATGAATTTTACACGAACCAAAGTTCTGAAGTTAAATTAAGTTAATGAAAGGTGCAAAGGCCAAGCCTTAGACTTGATCGGTACGGTTAAGCCTAAAACCCACGTAAACAACCCATCATCATCATTCTAATAATTATAATCACCCAAACAGCGTTTCAATATATTGCATCAAAAGCATCATTATTCCCTGTTTATTATTTTGTCGTGTGTTCTTCTCAATTCAAATCAAATGAATCATCGTCACCTAACCATGCACCATTCCATTTGCAAGGCCACCAAAGATTTTATTTATTTCTTTTTTTCCCTATTTAATGTGAATTTCCGTTTTCTGATGAAATTTTTTGTAGATCTCAAATCCATCCATGCTCATCAAAATATGTTTACCTGTTGTTTGCACCGAGTTACCGTCAAAAAGGCAAAGAAAAAACTTTTCATGAAGGAGAAAAATGATAGTAAAAAAGGTAATGAAAACAGAAGGAGAAAAATTAATAGAATTGCCTCCATTTTGATTGTATCAGTACACAATCTAAGTGAAAGTGTAACATTAATAGAATGACTTTTTTTATATAAATCAAAAACTCGCTCCATTTGTAACTTCAAGTGATTTCAATTGAAATTTATACTCCAAGGTTTACCTTGTTCAACTCAAACATTGAATAACTTAATCATCTATCTAATTGTAATTATATGTTTTCTTTTTTTATTTTCAGCTTTATTTTTATGGTAAAGAACAATGGAAAAACTTAATGCCAAAGTAATGATTCATACAATTTGGAAGAGGAACCAGATAATCTTAAGATGACTTAACTGATGGTCACATAAATTGGTCATAAAACCTGTAGGCACTGCATGTCAATAGGAATCAACAAGAAGCCCGCAAATATTTATAGATTATATTATCTATTTTGAAAACAAAAACCAATGTAGGCTATCTCAAGAGGATCATATAAAAGTAGATGGTAATCAAAAAAAAAGAGTAGGGAAGGCTGGAAACCCAGGCCCATCCGATTAAACCCTAGAAGAGGAGGACAAGAGGATAAATGAAGAAGGATAAAGATGATCAGAGGAGAGGAGAGGAGGTGGAGATGAGGAAAACATTCACCTTGCAACTGGACATTAATCATTCAATGGTCCATTCGAACCAATGAATATCACCATTAATATCATTATCATTCCTTTCACCGTCATTATTATATCTACATTAATGTCCATTCATGTGGTAACCAAGCCAAATACAGCCCACATGAACCCTAAGAAGCAGAAGCCAAGACAAAGTAAAATAGAGCTGAACGCGAGTTGCCCTTCAACAAATAAATAAGGTCAAAGTCTCATTACTATTATTCAAGAGTGAAAATAATAGATTTTTTCACTTGATTTGTTTCATTGAATTTTGTCAAGAGAAACACTTGAATATAATTAACTGTGTGAAATTAATATCGATTGGTGGACAGTTGGATCATTATAGAGGGTCCATCATCATCATCATCATCATTAAATTATACCAGGTTGACAGATGAATAGAGAGGTCATATTTATCAAAAGAGAGTGGAGGATCCAACCACTATTTGCGTATTAATACGAGAGAATCCAAAAAAAGAATCATTAGATAAAAAAAGACCCCAGTTTGTCATTACCTGGATAACTAATCAAACCAGATCACAGAAGAAACAAATTACCAAGATTAAACTGTTTTCACCAAGCAAGGTTATAAATATATTTTATCCAGTTAATATGCATAAACCATTTATGTAATCAAAGGAATAGGCAGAACTGATATTACAATACATAATAGGTATATATGCAATTTTTTGTTATATAATTCAAGGTTGTCAAAAAAAACAATTTGTTCTCTCTCTACCTAATGTCCCTAATCAAATAATAATTTCTTTCTATTGCTCAGTTAATTTGGTTTACAATTCTCATCGCATATCCTTGATATCATGAAGTGAAACCGAGAAACAAAACAAATAAACTGAATATCTTAAACTGGAATGGCAATTGGTAATGCTGTTGTCTATGAAAGGTCAGAAAAAATCAAGCAAAAAAAGGGAAACGGTCCATTTCAAGTTAAATTTCTCAGCCTGTATGTAAACCATGATGATCAACATTATCATTATCATAAGTAGACTGTCCAGTACCATGACTATGTGATAAAAAGAAAGGAAAGGAAAGGAAAAAACAAGAATGATAAAAGATCGTGGAAAGTTGCCATTCCAAATGTGTAATTCACCATCTCTACCCATGTGGCCTGTTATAGATGGATATTTTTCGCTGAAAATTTGATGAAAAAGAGTGAATTGAGCATCAAGGTTGAAACACATGAGTTCAAAAATTTCCAAATATTCACTATTAATAACTTTGCTGAAACTGGAAAGTGAAAGTTGAAATGAAAATAATTGGTAAAAGCGGAGACCAGAAAAAAAAGTGAGTTCCATTCAAGTTCCACCCAAACTCATGGTTAACTAAGAATAGAGTAAACAAGAGCAAAGCTACAGATGAATACAGATATAATAGGAGACAGAAAAAAATGACAATAACAACAACAGCAACAAAACAAGCAACGCTAGTAACTCTTGCTGTCAGCCTGTCAATGGATCCATCATCAACAATGAGATTTTATCGTTAAAGCGGAAAATTACGTCCAAATTAAAATGTGTCACCTCAAGCCTGTCATAGACATCTTAGGAGGTAAAATAACGTAGATATACCAGGCACACTCATATAAAAAAAGTAAACCCAACAAGAGAAGCAAGAAGTAAACTCTGTCAATGTAAACTTACCTTTAATTTACTTTCTCTCTCCTTACCTAATCTACCCACCAAACATATCTAACAGCTTCTCAATCACTCTATTTACCTGTTTAAAGTTGCAACTTTAAAGGTACCTTTAATCCCTCTGTAAGTCAGGTTAAAGCAAAGAAAAGCCTTCAAAGTAGCCAACTCAGATGATTCCTTTAATCTTCTTTTATTATTATCATTATTATTAACTGTATGTTATAACTTTTATTTTTTTCATTGCTTTAGCATATGTACGGCAGGATTGCGGTTAACTATTGAATAACGATGATGATTATTAAGCCTCAAAATGGCAGTCTTGGCACATTGACATTGCAGGTTAAATTAATTTCCTTACACACAAACACACTTGTATCATCATTCATCATGGGTTAACTTGAAGTTAATAAAAAGACCATGTTAATAGTGTAGTCTTTTTCAGTTGTTAATTTGTATCGTTTACAGCCAAACCACCCAAGGTATTGTTAATTTATTACATATTTAGTTGATTTTATTTTACCTGTAACTGAAACATTCACATGGCTTTGCATGAACCTCAAAAAAACTTCATTGGGTTGATCAACCAAAATTTGACAGTTTAAGTAGAAAGCTCATCCATTATTGTGATATTCACTGTGATATTGAAACATTTAATGGTATAAAAATTAGGTTATTAGACAACCATCAAGAGTATTGATTGGAGAAAATATATTCATCCTCAATTAATGGTTGATCATAATTGATGATTGTTGATGGACCTTTAAATTGTTTGCTTCTTTCAACTTTCAATTACCAATCTATGTATCCCATTACAGTAATCCCTCTCAAAATGGTTACTCTTTGGTTAAAGCTTCGTCTATTTTCAAGGCAATTTCTTTAGACGTTATCTCGTTCGTTTTTCGCGTATTTTTTCGCGATTTCATAAATTTCTTAGTAATTAAGTTTGTTTTAATGTTTAATTTGCGATTTTTTTGAGTTAAATTTAATTACTTCTCTTGACTTTGCAATTTAAAACGATTTCTCGGCTGTATGAATAGACCGTTTCCCTGGTAACTTCGCACTTTGAGAGGGATTACTGTACATTGTTTGTCATCGTTTGTTGCTGTTTTTCACTATTATACTTAATGTATGCCTCATCTAATTGAATTTTTTAGTATTTCTTTCAACTTGAGTGACTTACCTATTTAGGTTAATTGATTTGTGGTCCAATATGTTGATCAAACTGATCCGACTGATCAATTTCTTCAATCAAACAAAGATCATCTATTACTGGAAGAGCCTTTGAAAGTGCTAATTTGAACGCTTATTGTTTCAATAATTAAACAAATATTTGTACTTTTTACTGATCACTAAGTACAAATAAAAGATTTTACTGATCAATTGTGTGTGTCTTTTTACCGGTTACCATTAATAACAATAACAACTGCAATTAGGTAACTAATTATATTCTGGTAACCTTTTGTTTCATGGTTACTCATTTAATACACCTTTTAATTCGTCTCTATTTTTCCCTATTTACTTAGCTGATTTGTTTGTCATCCTAATTGTTTGAATGGTAATTGTTTAATTTACAAATATAACCTTGACTTTAGTAATTCAATCATCCATCTGATTGTTGGTTCCCTGATTATTTACAAATCAATACTTTGGACCAGCTGTTTCAAATTGAACTAACCAGTCAACAGGACAAAACAGATTTACATTGAAGTTGCCATTGACGGTGGACAAGTTTCGTAATTAAATAAATTGTAAGCTTTATTGCACTCGAATCAAATTAATCAACTGACTCTTAATTGTTTGTTTTTTATTTTTCATCGCCATTGTTTTCTCAATGTCCATGGGTAGCAAGATTTAGACAATAATGATGGAAACTCAAAGGACCAGACACAACATAATCAATCAACAAACGTTTAAAACAATGGCTAGCAAGTTATTTGATTACACCATCAGTATATTGTTAATCATAGTATAATTTAAAGATCGTTTGTGAGTGCAATCCATTTTATTGATTAAATCTAAAAAGAAACCAAGAAAGAGGAGAAAAAGGACGAAAATAATGTTATTGATGGTTATAATGACGAGAAAAGCTGAGGCTAAAAGAGGTCATTGTACGGAGCAAAGACGATTGACCTAACTTGACTAGGAACTTTACGGTTGATTATGGAAAGTGCAATGGAAGGCAAAAGCAACTTTATTTCCATGGAAATTGCAGTTCAAGAATAGTCATCTTTAGAAAGATTGTCTTCTCATGTGTAATGGATCTTATTCTTGGAATTGAAACTTTTGTCTTAGATGGATTTATTTTCACTGAAGAGACACTGAAAAAGAAAGATTAAGATGAAGAAGCTGATGAAAACAAAAGTAAAAGCAAAAAGAAACAGAAACAGAAACAGAAAAGGACAAAAATGATGAAAAGCTAAAGAAAAATTGCCGTTTTTTTCTGGTTTACTTTCTGGTTTTCTTATTTATTCCTGCAAATCTTGCTCTTATCATCACCATTCTCATCATTTTCAATGAAAGTGCATCATGTATAAACAGAAGACATTTCATAAACACATTTCTTCTTTACAAGTTGCTAACTGGCAGGAAAAGATAACAAAATAATCACATATTTCAATGAATCTTCACCACTTCGGAAGATATTCATCATAAAATTGACAAGTTACTTCGTTACCGTGTTGTTGAATTAGGCCATTGAACCAAAGACTGACCCTTGGCTAAAAGTATCCTTTTGTTTTACTCTGTAGATTACAGCAGTCAAGTTTACGATGACCATCTCCAACCATTATCCTTACCATGATCATGTTTAGATGATGATGATTAATTCTGAATAAATTGAAAGACATGTCCACTGTTATGTATCAATCTGAAAGTATCATAATAGTCAGGGAAAAAAAGGAAATTGTCTTCATCTTTTGCTTCCCTCAAATCAAAAGAGTCGGAAACATTGTTTCAATCTTCTTGAATAATCTTCTTCAAAGATGATCATCCATCAACATTATCATGCCCATAACCATTTTCAACATCACCAAGCTGATGAAATGTTATCTACATAATCACAAAGTTGTCATTATATCCTGATTCCAGAAGCAAATAATAATCAAAAACGATTGACCATTTCAGAAGGCAACCAAATAGACTTGAATAATATCTTTCCAATCTCAGTCTTCCCATGGTTAACCCATCTGACCCTTTTGAACCTTCATTTTCTCATGGAATAATTCATATGTACAAATCATCCAAATCATACAAAACAAACAAATTCAACTGATTCAACCCACAACAAGCAAACAAATGTCGCATCAAGAAATAGCAAAGATACTTGAACAGAAAACCAACCAATCCAATCATCACTTGATTATCCCTGAATACCTTACAGAATACATATTTTGGTTAAATGATCAAAGTATTTAATGATTAATGTAAATAAGGAACCAAAACAAATTGGTAAAAGATGAAAGTACAACTCAACAAAACAAGCAAACAGGTAGACTTTAATGAATATTACAATTTAGAGTTTTCTTAATACTTATTGATCAAAAATAGCCCTAACCTAACCCACCACCCACCTTCTCTCCCCTTTAATCAATACACACCCATCAATTAATCAAATATGATTGGAAGCAAAATTGAATCTGAATATGAATCTGGAACAAAATGAGGACACAAATTTAGGCAAATTTATCACCATTATTATAACCTCTTCCTTTGAACACTCATCATTATCATCATCATCAACAGCAATTCTTTAACAATATTGAAAATTACAAATGTTGAAATTTAGGTCAATCACGCAACATTTGATAATAATGCTTCAATGATAACATTTGGGTTCATTTTTATTTTCAATGAGTTTTTTTTCAAAGTTTCAACTAATCATTTACAATTACTTTTATTTTCAAACCACTTTCATCATGTATAAACTGGCTAATTAGAGCTTTAATCACCGTCTAATTGATTAACCATAATTGCTATTCTTGATTGACCTTAACATCAAATGCGTTTTAATGCATCAAGTATGAAGCTTTGTCTCATCAGTTACCAGTTTAAGTATAAACTAATTCAGTTATTAATAGCTGATTACAATTAAATCTAACTTATTTATCTTCTTCATTTAATACCATATTAACTGTACAATTACTACTATTATATAGTAAATGGATTAGATAATTTTTGATTGTTTAGGTTTGTTTACATGATAAATCATAAATCATTCATTTCCTTAAACTGATTGCTCATATTGTAGTTAACTGTTTTTAATTTAGCCCTGTTTAACTCTCATTGAGACTAAACCTTATAAGATATTAAACATTTAATTATGATTTATATCATATTGTTTAAACTCTCTCTCTCTTTTAACCCAATTAGTTTAATTGGTAAATATTGATTAATTGTACTAAGATCATTGATCCAAGATTTTTTGGTTTCATTTTCATTTCTGTGTAGAAGGGATAAATAAATATGAAAGTAATCAAACCAATGATTAACTCAGTTTTTGTTTGATAATCAATGTTTCACCGTAATCTGAAAGTTAATTACTTATCATGAAAATGAAATTGCTCAGACAATGAGTTAAGAATGGACTCAAAGTGCAATCAACTCATGTGGTTAAACCGATTCTCATAAATTACCTTAATATTAATTTGCTGTTGACTATAAATAATATAATGATGACAATAGTGAATAGTCAGGCACAATTTACTTTCATCAAATTATTTATATACAAATATTAATAAATAAAACAATAATTCATTTGGTTACATTGATTGATGATTTTTATTCTCGCTCTTCTTTTTGATTGTTACAATGTAATGATGTAAATAAAGCAACAACCAAATTATGGATTGAAATTCCTCAATAATTAATGGATAATCAAAACTCTTTCACACAATTGTTGACCAGAATAGACTGAAGATTATCATATTTAATACAATAACACAAGTCATTCATGTATAGTTATGATGGCCAATCTGGTAATCACTGTCCTTGAATCACGAAGGTTTGCCATTCAAATTGTCCTGAATCACAGGTAAATCAGCTGGTGTTGGTCCATGAATGCAACAAATAATGATTTTGGCTAATAAATTACATAGAGTTGAGTTGGTAAGAAATGAGAAACAACAAGAAAATAGAAATAAGATGACAAAAAGGATTTGGATAAAATGTGAATCAATAATGTCTTATTGGTACAATAACCGGTTTTTTCTGATTGAATGTTAGTGTTGCAAAAATTTTCAGTATTCGTTGTTTTTTCACTGTTTGTCGGTAAATCTCCTGGATGACCCTCAAAAATGGCTGATGATTTGATTACATAAAGACGAAAAATAACACACCAAAAAGCTGGGAAACCAGAGATTTTAGATGTGCATGATTAAGAAACAACGCCGAGACCATTCAAGTGAAAAGGAATCTCTTTTATTTTTGATTTACAGGGAAACTATTCACTGAAAAAAAAAGTTGACGGGTAATGATTAATATTTCAAATTAAATGGTAAAGCTTATGATAATGTTGATAACAATCACAGTTTAAGGTTTGAAGACGAAGGAAAAAAGAAAAATATTTTTTCTTCTTATCTAGTTATGACTAACAGGTTAACTGTAAACCGACGGTTTGCTTTTTTCTTTGTCTTAAGCTTTCTCGCGCTTTCAACTTGTAAAGATGTCTGTTGACTCCATGTTTTTTTAATAACATTTTTTGTTTACTTTTTTTTGTTTTTTGTTTTGAATTTATAATTGGCCATCTTTTTTTTTGGTCAAAAGTTTATTTCCTTATTGAAGTTGTGTTCATTATCAACGTTAAAGTTATTTATTGGTCATCATCAAGATCGATCGGTCAAGTATAAACAAGTTAAAAAAGAGGGATTTTCTTATGTGACCCTGAGAATGGATTTTCATTGTAACTCGATTGACAGGGAAACAATTCAACTTTTAGAACAAATTGAGTTAATAATAATATTTTCAAGAGATCACAGTAAACAACAATTTAACCACCAATTTCATCATCATCCTGACCAACACCAACTCCATCATTATCATCATCATCGTCATCAATATTATCCTCAAAACCATAGTCAATATCTAAAAAGTGAAAGAAATAAACTTTTCCTTGCTTTAGTCTTGTTAAACGTGTACCATTGGCTACTAGATTTCTTTGTATTCACTGGATTGTATTTAAAATTGTCCAACATTGAAAACAGCTTTAAATGGAATCGATTGTTAATAATGACCATCAACTTAGTGAACTTAAATTATCACAAATTACCGTTGACCCTAACAGTTTAACATCAAAATCCGATACTTCTACCGTTACTGTCAGTTCTAATGATGAAAGCAGTGTTATTCAACAACCATCCATTGGATGCACCTCTTTGTCCTCACCAGAAACAATTACAACAAATTTTTCATCACAACCAGCAACACCATCACCATCATCAGCGCAATTATCAGTACCACCATCAATCCAAGTAAATCATTCATCCAACCGTATTACAACAACTCGACCTGCCATTCGAATACAAAACCTCAATGTGACTTATGGTCATTCTGGTGCCATTGAATTTGTTCTTAACAATGTAACCATGACGGTTCCCAAAGGTTGTATCTATGGTCTTCTGGGTCCATCAGGTTGCGGTAAAACAACTTTACTCAAGTGTCTTATGGGTCTGAAAGTCTATGATTCGGGCAATATTTCCATATTTAACTACCCGACAGGTACTCGAGAAAGTGGTGTACCTGGACCAGGAGTAGGTTACATGCCTCAAGAGGCGGCTCTCTCCCGTGATTTAACTATAAGGGAAACGTGGACCTATTTTGGACGAGTTAACTTTTTATCAGACCAAGAAATTCAGGAAAAAGTAAACTCTCTCATTTCTTTACTAGACTTACCTGATGCTGATCAGTTAATCTCTAACTTAAGTGGAGGTCAACAGAGGAGAGTTTCGTTTGGAGCTACTATCCTTCACAATCCACGTCTGATGATCTTAGATGAGCCCACAGTCGGTGTTGATCCAATTCTGCGATCAAGGATATGGCGTCAATTGGTCAATGCAACAAGAATGAAGGGGACAACTATCATTGTAACTACACACTATATTGAAGAAACGAGGAAAGCTGATGTTGTAGGTTTCATGCGTAAAGGAGCTATCATTGCTGAAAATAATCCAATAAGATTTATGAATAGATATGGAGTGAACACATTGGAAGCTGTTTTTCATCGTCTATGTTACATTCATAAGCGCACTTCACTTTCTGGTTCTGGCGGAAACATTCATACCAATAACCAATCAAACTTAATTCAATGTTGTTCTATGAATTCTTCACGACCCTTAGGTTCTCAAGCAACTGTAACATCCTTATCTGCCCCTTGGATTAGGCCAAACAATATCTCTGATTCAAAAGCATGGTGGATGCAGTTTACAGCAATCTTGACTAAATATAATCTACAAGTTATGCGTCAACCTGAAACTTTAATGGCATCTTTTGTTCTTCCTATCATGATTTTGTTGATTTTTTGTGTTTGCATTGGAGGCACTCCTAATGGAATATCTATTGGTTTACTCAACCATGAAGTTTGTGAACAATTTACTCATCATCAACCACATCATTATCACAATACTAACCTACATAGGCATCGAAATCATAAGCATGAGCATATCTCACCTCAACCCCAAATGATTCACAATAGTACTGAGCCGTGTTTGAGTACCGCTTTTCTCAATTCAATAAATAGTTACATGTTTAACAAAAAAATATACACCGATTATACTCAAGCTTTAGATGATGCTGAATCTGGCTCTATCTGGGGTTTTATTAGAATCAAACAAGGATTCTCTGACGCTCTACTTTCTCGTCTTACCTTTCAAGAAACAGACCTTAATGGTTACGAAGTCGATCTTAATGTTTCCCAAATAGAGATTCGAGGCGATTTAACTTCTTTAGTATTAACACGATTGGTCACCGGTGCCTTAAGCTTTAGCTTTCTCGATACAATCAAACCAACACTACCTAATCCAAAATTAGCTGATTTACCGATAACTCTTGGAACAACAGTTTTTGGCTCATTTGCAAAATCCGACTTTTTTGGTGTTCGTGATTTCGCAGCTCCTGGTCTAATGATTGTTATAGTTTACTCCATTGGATTTGCCCTTACCGCATTTACCTTACTAATAGAGAAACAAGACAAAACCCTAGACCGTAATTATGCCTCAGGTTTAGGTCGATTCCAAATAATTCTTGGTCAACTGATTGTTCGATTTGTTTTCCTTATACTTCCAGTCATCATTTTGCTGACCCTTTCAGTAACATTGTTTGGTATCCCCTGTCGTGGGTCATTCATTGCCGCAGTTTTACTTCTCCTAATCCAAATACTTTCCGGAATGGCTTTAGGAGTTTTCCTCTCTGCTGTATTGCCTTCCATCTTTACCTGTGCCATCATTGCCAATGCAGTCCTGTTATTTACTTTCATCATTTCAGGAGTTATGTGGGCCTTTGATACCTTACCTTATTACATTCGCTGGGTCAGCATAATTCAGCCAACAACTGCTGCCGGTGAATCATTAAGAAGTATTCTTGTTCGTGGCCTACCAGCAACTCAGATGAATGTACTCATGGGCTATTTGATATCTTTGGCTTGGATTGGTATTTGGTTAACTCTTGGAACCTTATCATTCAAATTTCAAAACAATTGATTGTCAATCAACACAACAATTCAACATAACTTCATCCATCCAGTTTGTTTATTAAAATGTACAACTTGAAGAAAGGATTAAAGTTAAAGAAATCATTGATGGCATCTCTTTATTTTAGTTAATTAATTTTTTGTTTAGCAATTTAATTAGCTGGACAATATAAAAGTATAAAACCAGTCAAAGACGGGCGTAATAATAATCAATAATAAAGAGAATCAAATAAAGAAAATTGTTTTGTTTGCTCGATTAAAAGATGACGAGGAAAAAAAGAAACGAGTCAAATTGAGTTGTCACCATTGTAATTTTAAGAATCTCAATTAATCATTGAATTGCGTTATTACCTTCATCCATATTTTAATTATACGCACGATAATCAGCAGAGCAAGCAGCATCAAGAAGCAATTTATATTCTTATAATCAAACTATCAAACACAAAATTGTATCATTCAGTATCTACATTGAAAAAAAAGTCAAACAAGGTTGATAAATCATATTAAAGATTGTTGTTGATTTTTGATTGTTAATGAAATTTATCTTTCAAAATTCAAATAGTTATAATCAAGACAAGTCAATGAGAAGGAGAAAGGTTCGGTGGAAGAAAAGAGACAGAAAAAAAAGAAAGAGAAGAAGAAGAAGAAAGGATGAAAATTAGTGTAAAAAGACTCCAAAGTCTTGAAGAGAGTTTGTTGTATCCATAAGTCTTACAAAGTTGATTGTTGAATTAAATTGTTTGAGATGGTAAATCAACTCTTATAAAATGGTCAAATACTATTTCTTATAATCATAATAATAGTAATAATAATAGAAGTAATAAGATTAATAATATTTGCTGAATAAATTGTATAATTTGACTCTTATCATGTCATTTGGGATTGAACATGTAAAACCATTTGCAAAATGTTCAGCATCCAATCAAATTGTATAATAAATTGATGTTTCATTGATGTTGTAGTTGTTGTAATTGTTATTCATGATTGTTAGGATGAAATTGTTTAGGAAAAGATTCCAGATGATTTACCGCCCGGTGGTTGACGGGTTCGAACTGGTGTATTGGGTAAAGAGAGTGATCGATTCTCACCACGAATAACATCATATCCAGTTACTTTAGCCACTCGATCGCTGTAAATATCATCAAAAACCTCTCCTGTGATCGGATTACGACGGATAACTGTAAGTGAAAGGGTAAAATGATTAATAAATGGCAAAATAATATCCAAACCTGCAACAATTAAAGTCAACAAATGAACCAACAAAACAAAACTCTTTACATTTGTTCCTTTGCCCTTCCAAATGTAAAACCCTTTCAACAGATGATGATAAAGAGCAGCAAGAAAAATGTTGAATCTTTAATTTTAGACAATTGTAATGAACAATATAAAAGGGAATCCTGGAAACGGATTAACCAACACAATGATTAACTTGAAATATTGTCCTACTCTTGATTCCCAGTTCGAGGTCAGGGTAACTGTTATTTCACTCATCTTCATCTTTCCTTCCTTCATTCATCAAATCTTTTCTAATTTATTTATTCCTCCTTATTCAGGCTAAATAATAATACTAATCATAATAATATATACAATTTAGTTGATGGTTTTTCAAGCAACAACAAGACCAACCAACAAAGTAAAAAACGAGTTACCATAAACACGTTTCAACAGGCAATCCTTTATTTACGCCAGACACTATTTTTTACGTCGTTTGTTTTTTTTTTGTTAACGGGTTAGCTGATGCGTCTGATTAACCTAACAACATCATTACTATTATCATCATTATCATCTTCATCACCATCAACAATATCAAAGTATCAAAGGCTCTTAAGCAAGTGAAAACATTAGAGGTTAACTATTGTCATTAGCATTATTCCGTTACAAGGTCAATATTGGGACAAATCGAGGCAAAACCCCTTCGAACCTGATGAGTGTGAGAGAAGATGAAAAGATGGTAAAAAGACGATAAAAAAAAGATGGTCTAAATGGGGAAAAAGGCCAAACTGAACGGAAGTTATCAAGCATGGCAAACATTTGAGCTCATCTTTTTGCCTCTTAAAAATAGCTTTTTCAAATTTCACCTCTCAATGCATAGTTGATCATCATCTTCATTCATCATCATTTTCCTCTCTTCTTTACCTCCCACTTTGAACCTTACCTTGTCAACCGTTACAACAATGCACTTGACACGATAACCAAGCAGAGAAACGCTTAAATGCTAACAACAACAACAAAAGGCTAAAATGACAAAATGAAACAATCCATAATATTAGAGTATAAAAATCATGTCAATTGATGGTGAAAGTGTAACATTGAACAATGGAGTTATGCCAAAAGCAAAAAAATAAATCCCACCAAATTGTTAATCAATGAATCTGTATCAATCATGTAAGATGAGAATAAAAATTTGAAACGTTTCTTCGCCATCTTCGCGACACTCGCCAGGCAAACAATACAAAGCCTAATGTTGACAATGTTTAAATAGGAAATAAAACATTGATAATGGCAACTGCATAAGGCACAAACAAACACAAGGCTTTTTTTTATCATCATATGTAGTCTGATAATAATAATCATAATGATAAAAAAATAATGATTGTAAAAAAAGCCTCTCTTTCATTGCTAATGACTTTTTATATTCATTTCAGTCCTGGTTTGTTACACTGAACAGAGAAACCAAATTCATTGGGAAAACTATTTTCTTCTGTCAATACACATAAATACATGGTTCGTGTGTCTTTCCCTCCCTCTGGTTACCCTGGCTTCACAATGTGTCTAATGTGTATGGATGTGTGTGTGGGTCAACGCCTCAGGTATATCGATTGAATCGAAAGACGCAAGAAGACAGAGAATGGTAAAAATGAAGGAAACATGTTTTTGTTCACAATAGCTTTGGCTGACCTTTAAATAGCTTTAACCCACCTTAACGGGTTTATTGTCATTGTAAACCATCTGTTTCTTGATCATGAGTAACATCTTAAGATGGCCAATTTTGGACCTTCTTTACTATTCATTTTTACCTTGACGACCAGCTTGACTAAATGTGTGTTACTTGGATGATGGCTGATGAAGAGGAAGAAGATAAGATGATCCATTTCCTTTTCTCTTACAACTGTATAATCTCATCTAATCACATCCTTTTGGGCTATTTGTTTGTCAAAGTAACAAACCCAAAAAGGATAATGAAACAATGAAGAAACAAAAAATTTTCAACTTTATATTGAAACTTTATATAACTTGCATTGTCTCACTCTGTTTGGTGTCTCTTTACGTTGTCTGTAACAATTTATAAATCACTAGGAAATGATAACTTTCTGCTTCTCTTTATCATCAATTTACCTTTAATTCTGTTCTTTGTCTTTGTCAACTTGTTTCCTGTTTTCATTTCTCTATTATTTTTTCTTCCAGGTAACATGGGAAAAGAACAGGGAAAAAGATTGAATGATCAAAGTTGAATAAATATACCAAAGGCAAGTAGTGATGAAAAGGAAGTAAAAATTGGTAAACTTGTCACGAGCTGAATTCAGCTCAAGTTTAATGGACTTGAATCAAGAAGGCTAGGAAGGAGGATGAAGATGATGATGAAGGAGGATAAAGAGGGAACAGGGAGGAAGAAAAGTAGGAAGATGAACAAATCTATGGGAAAAAAGTAGAGAATGACTCATTCCAAGTGATCTCCCTTTAAACAATTTCATCCGAACCCCACCCAGAATTGAGCCATCGTAAGAATCAGATTTATCAGATCCAAGATTTATCTTCACCTTTTGTTTTCATTTTGCTTTCTCAGATTAAACCAGATTTGGTCAAAGGAAAAGGTAAAATTGAAGCTACAAGTTAATCAGCTACACTTGATTGTACTTCATGTTTACATGATGGAATGTTAAGAAAACTCAAGAAAAGGTGAACAAAAACATGATCACTTAATCCATACCTTTTTAAGGTGTAAATTACAATCTAATTAATACAATTAAATTGTAAATTTGAAACATTTTTCCTATTTAACCTTTTCTTTCATTTGTTTCAAGCTTTTGTTTTGGTTTGGTTTTGGGTTTTGTTTTGGTTTTTGTTGCTATTATTGTTAAAGATGTTTTTGTAACACATTTGGTCGATGGGATTTGGGGATTGAAAGGTCAAAGTTTGTTCAACTTACTGGTTATCTTTTTCTTTGCCGACTTTAATGGGCTTGAATCGACGACATTTTCAGCGAAAACAGACGACTTAAGATGATTACGAACTCGCCTTGGACTATCCTCTGGTGGACCAAAGAGACGAGTTTGAGTATCTTCCCGACGAAGTGGACGTCGACGGCACAAAGGTGATCCAGAGGGTGAATAGTTGGATCCATTGGAGGGTGTTGTTGAACCTGAGTCAATTGTTGAAGTGGGTGAGTTTCCGGTTGATGAGGTATCCGACATGCTTCCTAATTCAACCATGTTTTCAATGTTATTTGATCGGTTGTAAAACTAAATTCAAAGTTGAAATGTAATTTCAAAAGATTAAAGTTGATCAAATATTGCAAAATTGGTCAATTCAACTTAAAACCAAGACACAAGTTGCAGTTGATGTTGTCGTAAATGTTAGTTGATTGCAGTTGATGAAATTTCACTTCATTTACTGATTGATGGGACAAATGAAAAGATGTACGGAAAGGGTTAGAGAGAGATGCACAAGTAAAAAAATGTAAACCTCGATTAGTGATTAAATGTGATTGCAATGGTGAACTAAGACCAACTGAGGTAAGTCAACTTAAGGCCAGCTCGATATAAACTGTTTCAGTTCTATCGGCGATGTTATTAACTAAACCAGCTAACAGCAACAACAAAAGTTACGAGTCAAGGAGGAGTCAAACTGGGATGATAAACAGGGGATTGATCAGGGGGAAAAGGGCGGTGTCAGTGGAAGATTTAAATGAAAGATGAGAGAAGAAGAGAGAAGATGATAGAGAGAGAGAGAAGCCTCAACTTCGTTCCATGCTTGGGTGTGCTTCATCATTATCTTCATTCCCATCTTTATTTTCATCTTTCTCTTTAACTTTAAACTTCTCTGACTATTTTTGATCTTCTTCATCTTCTTCTTCCTTTCATTTTCATCTTCAAGTTTCTCACTCTTAATGTTTTTAATTTTACCATTTGATATCGATCGACTTTACTGATTGAAATTGATCACCATTTGTCCCAATTAAAGCCAACTTTTAATTGCTCGCCAATCTTGATAAGCTAATCTTAAGATTTTTTCAATGTGTTTACATCATTTTGTAACATGTAAATGTTGCATCAAGTAAACGCCATTTGATACTAACAAGCAATTTGAAACATTGTAATTGTTTCAATGGAAATAAACTGAGCGGAATAAAATTGAAGGCCAAAAAGGGGTAAACATGATGAAAAGTGTTTAAAATTGAGGGTAAATTGAGGATCCAATGAAAGGAAAATATTGACAAAAGTATGAAAATATTTTCTTGTTATCAGCTTTAAAATGCAAATGATTTTGCCAACATCTTTCATCTCTTCCTTGTCCTCCTCTTCATTCCTCCCGTTTATCCCTAATTTTTTTGCATAATTTACTATTCCAACCATTTAAAAAAGGTCCAACTGAGGTCCAAATATGATTAATATTTGGTTAACATTTTCTTTTTAATATTAACAGAGTCAATGATGATTATCAATTGAGAAACAAGAAGCGAGACAAAAAAAGCGACTTATTATTAGCATCAGAAGAGTGGCGAAGAGAGGGTTTTTCAAGAGATGATCAAGATGAGAATAAGTTTAAATGTGCAGGGAAAGAGGGAAAATGCTGGGAAGATGGAGATGAGGAAATGGATGATAATGATGAGAGTTACTCATCGAATGAGTAAGCTTATTGATGAAAATTGTCTTCACTGTTTAATACGTTTTTTTGGGTTCTTTTTGCTTCTTCTTCTTTCTTCTACTTCTTCTTAATACCCTGTGATGTTACCAGAATAATGATGATATTATTTTTAGGTAATATGATATTGATTGTTACTGATTGTTATGGTCATCATCATCGCCATGATATTCAAGTTCTGACCTGTCTTCTTCTACTTTTCATCTATTAAAAGATAATTGTCTCCAATTTTTGTTGTCTGTTGTTATCGTTTTTCAACAAAAAAAATATAAAGTAACACGATATTTGATAATAATACTTTCAATCATAATAATGCATAATAATGATAATAAACAATTCAGGTCACACAATTGATTGTTGATTTGCAAGTTTTCCCGAAGTAAACCTTACAAATTACATTGATAAACTTTCAATTGTTCAACTAATCATGAAATTTATTATTTTTCATTTTCCATTCATTTTTGCTCTTCGTTTTCTGTTCATCTTTTTTCCTTTGTTTCTGTCATGTTTTATCAACCTCAAATTGGGTTTGCAGTTTCAATGTTGTCAGGTTCAATGTTTTCAGTTTCAACTAGTTTAATATTGTCTCATCCATTGGCATATTATATCATCGTTAAGATAAACAGTGATTAACAGTGATGAGATGGGAAAAGATGTTCAATCTTGTATTGGCCAAGTCAACCTTTTGGGTTGAGTTTACTTTTTTTCCCTTGGATTCAATCCAAAGATGATTAAGATTATTTGCGTTTTAAAGTTTTTTTTTCCCTTTAGACGATGATAATTATGGTGATGATGAGACAGTAAAGTTCTGTGTGCTTTTAAACAGATAAAGGTTATTGTCCGATTCAGTGAGAAGGAAAATATTGACGATGAAAAAAAAGAGTACAACATTCACAGTAAAACAGGGAAATTATTGTTTCTATTTACATATCAATGTTGTTTATCTTGTCTTTTCATGTTTTTTCAATCCATCATTCATTGTCTACATTGTCCAACAATCAGTAAAAATCAATTTTTAATTATCTTCAACAGTCAAGTTCATCTTCAAATTGACAGAAAAGACCAGAAAATTTAACCCAAAGCTGAACAAAATTTAGCCTAAAATTGAGTTACAAAATTCAATTTGAAAAACATTGGAAATTGGATTTTTGTCTTGAGCTGCAAAATTTAGGTTCAAAGTAAACCCAAAAAATTGAACATTTTTAACTGTAAATTTAACCGTAAATGCCACTGTTTTAATTCACTATTAACTGATGATATTAGTGTTCAATTGGTGTTGAAATAGATTAAATTGTCGACAGTTAAGAGAGGAAATTATTTGATTGTCAAATGATTGTCAGTATTGAGTCAGTGAAATTGTCAAAGGGATTGGGAAGGAAAAAAGAAGTCAAATGTTCAATAGGAAATCAACAGGAAGGAAGATGATGAGAAGATGAAGATGATAATGAATGGGAAGAGACACAAAAGAAAGCAAAAATCTGATTGATTGTGAGATTAATCTGAACACGGACTGATTGTGATGGCGATAGTGAAAGAGGCAAAATAATCAGATTTAAAGGTAATAATGCAAGTGAAGTTAACCTTGAGTAAAGGTTGAGTATCAATGGTTCAGATGAAACAATTAAACTAATTGTATTCATTGGCAATCACAATCTGAATCAATTTTAACCGTTTCTCGCCGGTTTTTTTGTTTTCATTGATCATCATCACCTTTTTAGCATAACAGACGGCAAAAGAAACAATTGAATCACTTGAAAGTTTAATCAACTAAATGAACTAAATGAGTTGACATACAAGTTGTACAAGAAGCTGAAGAAAAAAATGAACTCCATGATTAACATTAAGTTAACTTGATTCTAGTCTGATTTGGCCTTTACTCTTAACATGGTTCAGCTAAGATGGCAACACGTTTCTTCAATGAATACTCATTTGTAGCTTGGGCCTGTTGATGCATAACAACTCATTGTCAAATTGAATTGATTTGCCGTTGTTTATCATCATGTTGATCAACAAGAGAGGTAAATGGTGAGAGCAACTTTCATCTTCATCACATCGATTATTTTCAATCAATTTAATTACCAATTGCAAGTCAACCAATTTTCATGTCGATCTCTGCCCTTCAACAGTAAAGTGATTCATCCCATTATCTGTCAACCTTAATGCATCACTTGACTCCAGGTCAATCACAAATTTCATCTTCATCTTCATCCTCACACTCATCACACACATCATACTCTTGATTATCCTTTATTTTTCCCTTTTTTGTGTGTTAATTGTGCCTTATTTTTGCATATTTTTTCCGTTTAATGGGACAAACTCAATTAGCGTTTTTTTGGGTAAAAAATTTCATTCCAATTTTTATCATTCAAATGTTAATTATTATCAATTGACCTGAATTGTAATTAACATTCACACTTAAAGGAAGCAAAAATTACCCATTTTAGACCAGCTTTAACCATTGACATTCACTGCAACAGGCTAAGCAGATGATCATCTTTAAACCCAAAGATACCAGTCAATAGGTTAACCTTTTTTACTGTGAGCCTCTCATTGATGTTTATTGTTATTGACAGAACCGGTTGTTAGATTATTACTATTATTACTGATTGTTGACAGGACTTGATAAGATCCAATTAGAGGTCAATTTGTACAATAAAAAAGGACCAATTAAGTACCCAAAAAAGAGACAAAATTTAGGCCAAAACATACCAAAAGAAGCAACAGACTTGACTATCGCCAATTTTACCATGTTTTAATGTATAATATATTTGATCAATTAGATTATCTCGATGGCTTAACGTCTAATGTACGAGATGATTAGACAGTAAGGCCAGTAAACCTAATTGACCATAGCGATTGATCCCAGGAAATAGGCATTGCCTTAGCTTTGAAGTCTAACATGTAAGTGATGGATAGTTACAGATATTTCAATCTCATTTATTATTACAGATTGGTTTCATTGATTGACAAAATCATATCTTGAGATATAAATATACATTGAACAGTTGAATTGTGCATTTTAATTTGAAACTGTTTAACGATAAAGGATAAAGTACTGACCATTTAGTCACAAAGCCAACGCAATGAAAGACCTTTTTTAGTTTAACATTTTTGTATTTATTTATATTTAATATGAATGGAAAGCCAATCCCAATTGATAAACTAATGGTTAATACGGTATTATTATCATTATTATTGCTGATAAAATGTTTTAACTGTTGAACAAAACAATATTTATTAATAGTAACTGAAAATGCAAAATGAAAATATAAAAATGTTGCCAACAAAAATTACCTTACCTTTTTGTGTTGGCCCAACATCATCAATGAGTTTCTTGTTTATTTGTTTATTTTGCTTTCTGAGTTAAACCAGTTTAAATCATCTTAGTTCATCTTGTAATAATGACAATTACATTTCAATTGATTATCGTAATCAACAAATATCATCTCCTAATAATAGATATAATTGTTATAAAAAGCATATTAATTGAAAGCAATTGTGTTGCAAACGTATTTCAATTGCAATCAAAAGGTCATAAATAGTCTTAAAAAATGGTGATAATCAGGTTTTGTGATTTGCAGCCGCAAAAGAGCCGCAATTGAAGATGAATTGGATTCGGTTTCATTGAAATGAGACGAAATTGAGGAATAAATTTCTTCAATTTCATCAAAATTAGCATTAAATATTGGTCGATTAGTTGAATTTAGGAAAACTGTTAGTCTGACCAGCAGTTGGATCCTCAAGTAATGGACAGAAATTTTTGTAATGCAGCAAAAAGTAATTGAATGCCTCATGATTAATCCATAAACCTTGACTTTTATTGAAAATTAATCGATGATTCGAAATGATTCTTGAACTTAAAGCTCACTAAATCAATGGTGCAAAATGAAGATGCAAAAGGTTATCAGAATGTGAAATGAAAAGCGTAAACTAATGAAAATAAAACCACTTGAAGCTGAATTGATGGTCGTTTGAATTTCAGTGAAATCTTAAATTTTCATTTTCCATGAATCAAACTGCTCAAAACCACAAAATGACAGTTAAAATGTTCATCAATAATTGAGTTATTATTAAACACACTCAATCATCAAGAGTCCAACAGTTACTGAACGAAATCACATGATATTTAAACGCTTTAAAAAGGTTCATTCTATTCAGATTCGACAAAAAATTGGAAATATTTCAGGTCAGTTCGAGTTGACTTAGTCGGTTCAGTTTGATCAATTTTTGATGAAAATAAAAGAAAGCAAAAAGTGTGTAAAGTTACTTTTTTTACGCAAAGAGTAGCAGAAGTAAACATTAATCCAAACCTGTTGGGTCGATCCTTTCAGGTTAAGCTAAAGATGGCAAGGCTGCTATCAAATGTTAAGATCCGGCTTTTTTGGCCACAAAAAGCAACTCAAATTTAGGCAATAAAGTTCAAATAACTACATCAATAAACCACAGAAGATGAAAAAATCATGAACCTCATCATAGGAAAATGATGAAGATGAAAACCGTGAAGAATGGGATGAATAGAAATGAATGGACATTTCATTATTTCCATTTTTCTTTCATGACTTTTATCCCTTCTCATCATCATCACCATAACCAATGAATCTCTGTTTTTTGCTTCTTCTTCTCATGTTAATCAGTTGATGATGAAAGATTGTTTTTAATGATGATTTGCAATTTATTTTACTAATTTTAAATTATTAATAGAATAAATAACAAATTAAAAGGTAACCTTAATTGTATTACATTTATTACATCAATTATTACGCTAAGCAACTGAGAACCTCATTTTTATTACTTTAATCTTACTTCATATTAACCTCTATTTTGCTCATCATTTCAGGTAAATTGTAACAATTTGTTTATTTTTGCAAACACTTTCAATACAAAACCAGAACGATGTTAAACATTTCAACTTGTCTGAAGTAAAGCGCAACACTTTTCAAGATGAATGAACACACCATTTGAATAAGACTTTACTGAATCACAAGATTGAACAAAAACTCAACTTTTTAGTCCAAAATCATAATCCAAATGGTTCAAGATAAACGGGTTAATGGTCCATGTAAATGTCTGTTAGCTCAGTGTAATCACTTTTCAGGATGAAAACATGGGATGACAGTTTTTCCTGAGAAACCATTAAGGATGAACAGGACAACATCCATTAACCAGAGACTCTTAATTGTTGATAATTGCTGTTATGATATTGAAAGCTGAAACTGAAAAGCTGATAAAAGCATCTCTAAAAGGGTCAACATTAAAGTTTATGGTTAAGTTGATTGCTTATGTTTCAATGAATGGCTTTTACAGTTAACTTTTTATGGCCAAATGCTGTTACATGAAAAACACACGAGAATCAAATTCCGTTGTTTAATTAATATTTCAATTAGAATCTTTTGCTGACCAGTTTTTCAATACAGTTTAATTTAATCAACCATTAATGTTTTAATTATGTTAATATGGATTAGTTTAATGGAACCTTTAAATTGTTGCAGTTTCAGCGTAACTTTAATTTACCTTTTTTACTTGCCTTTTCCAGATTTCATTTGGTTACTTAATTTAGATTCAATTTAACAATAAGTTTGGTCAAATTATGTTAATCAACAAAATTAGCAACAAAGCAAAGTTATTAGTTAATTAGATTTTTTTGCTCTTCTCTGATTGTTGTCTTAACCAATACAATCTTGTAATGATACTAATCTTAATTGACCATTATTTGGGTTGTTAAATGTTAATTTAGTTAACAATTTTCTTCTTCTTATAAGTTGTATTACAAATTGTGTCAACAATTTGATTCTCATTAAATATAATTTTCATGTCAAGTGTTGTTAACACAATTAATCATTAACGTGATTACAGTCAAGTAATTAAAAGTGACACTTTAACTGGCAACATCATCATCAACAGCATCATCATGATATTACAAGATTACACATTTTTAATGTTTGTTCAACTTTATTGAACATTTATTGATTGTTGATCAAAAATTTAATTTTCACTGTAATCACTTTAATCAGGATGAACCTGAGTCAGCCTGGATATTGAGTTACAGGATTTGAAAAATTGGTTTAATTATTGCATTTAGAATGATAAATTGAGCTTTAAGTGTCTAGATTATTTAATTTGCAATTTAACAAGTAAATCAATAAAATGATGAATATGATTAAGATCATCAAAATGGTCATAATAGGTGCTGATGAATAGCTGAATTGGTGAAATGAAGGAAATGATTAAATATTTATTGAAATTCAAATGATGTAAAAAGATCACACAATTGCCGGGAAACAGGTCTGGTTGTGTGTTACATTTGATGGGACAAGAGTGACTCTCTTAGGTTGACTGTTGCTTGTCTTAGGGTCTAAGCATGAAAATTATCGAGATTAAGTTTAAGATGAAAATAATGTAAATAAAAAGGTCAGACTGTTACAGTTGGGTTTCTGGGATTCATGTCTTGTCATGCAAATTGAAGTGAAGATGAGAGAAAGTTTTTCTTTACCTGATTTTGAAATGTTATTTACCGATGTTGTTCACGATTTGTGGCTTAATTTTATTGACACATTCTTGAGTAAATCTTGATTGTACCATAAAAAGTGACCTAAAAATGAGGCCAATTTTAATCAATGTGAGCTAAATGATGGCTAAGGTAAAATTGTTATTTACAATGACTGGTCAATCTTGTTTAACAGTTTAACCATAACAACATGAGATTTGAAAGTGGATCCAAAAAAAAGTGATACAATTTTGAAAAGTAAATACATGTTGGTGTTATAATTAGTTTATTGTACAATCTTGTTTGACGCTCGACTCTTAATTGTTACCATTGATCAAATATAATCGGGTAATTTTGTTGGCCAGTTTAACTTGCAATCATTAAACTTGATCGTTGAAAATGTAACGATGTTGATGAAGAAAAATAAATAAGATATGAACATCCTTTTGACCTGTTTCACACATGAAAAGGTAAAGGTTGAACTTTGACTATTGAGTGAGAACGTGAATCTTGTCAGATAAATAATCTGTCAAAATGATAGAGATGAGGATGAAAATGATGAAGGTGAGGATAAAGATGAGAAACTGCAGATCAGAGGACAATCATTGAAAGTGAGTTTGTCAGCAATAAACATGTTAACAAGGAATTATCATTTTAGAAAGCTTCTTAATCTCATAATCTTCTTCTTCTTCTTCTTCCTCATCATCACTTCATCATCTATCTCTATTGATTATCATGTAAATGAAAAGTTAAACCGAGTCTCAAACGAGCGAGAAAAAAAACGAAAAAAAATTATCCAGTTTTGGGTTTTCTGGTTTTGAGGTTTTACTGTTTTCAACTGATCAACTTGAAAGCCAACTCAGATTTGGTTACAACTAAATTTAATTGTAATTTGGTTAATTTCAATTTCCTTTTCATTTAACCAACCGATCAACAATTAACCGGAAAAGGAGTGATCAATTAATCATCTAATAATAGTGAAAAGTTGATTGTTAATCATCTACATCATCTTGTATCGTTCAACTTGGGCTCAACATATTCATTTATGGTTAACCTTTTTTTGTTTTGTATTTTTGATAAACTGAATTAAACTGATGAAAATTAAGAAAAATTTGCTGCTTAAATCAGACTCTTTAATCATTACTAAATCATTACTACTTTAATCAGCGTTTTAATCATAGTTTAACAATCATTCATCATCTATCCTGGCAAAGTAAATTGTTTTGTCTGTTATTCGCGTTCAATTAACATTGAATTTTAACATTTCCTTTCCATGTCATTTGCTTAATTGTTATCATGATATCATTTCAATTTCCTTGTTTGCAATCTGAATCAACCCAATAATCAAGTTAATTTTACCATCCGCAAAAGTGAATCGTTTCATCATTATATAAATGATCAGATGAACATCATTAATCAATAACAATTTCATTTTCATTTGAAAGTAAAGCTATTGGCTTTACCAATTGGTCTGACCATCTCTCAATCAATTGAACATCAACATTATTTAAATCAATGATCAATCCCTTCCACCCACACCTTGACCCACCCCGAAGTACAATAATTAATAGTGAAAAGTTAAACACTATTGAATTAAACAACATCAAGGGTTGGTATCGCTGGCTGATTCCAATTTAGGTCAATTGAGAGAGATGGGAATAAATCATGTTTGATCATGTTTCCCGATAATAAGCCAATTGTCCATTGATGATTAAGGGTTGGACATTGCTTGTTAAATTGTAACTCAAAAGAGCAACGAACAAGTAAAAGTAAATGTAAATTGATGAGAAAGTTCATTGATTTATAAATTGTATTCCGTCGGTTAAATTAACCTCTTTTGTACTTTAATTGTTCAACTATCAAAAGGCTAGACTAGGATGATGAGTAAATCATTTGCCAGCGTCTTTTGTCACATTCATCATCATTACATTGAACCTGTTGCGTCCGATGTTAATTGCAATCTTTATGAATAACAATTAACCTTGAACCTCTTACTGGTTAAGGTTATTAACTTTACTTTTTTTGGGTTATTTGATTAATCTTATTGTGTTAATCGTATTGACATTGAAAAGTGTAGAGACAAAATTGAACCCAAAAAAATCAGGTGAAAAGGATTTCCTTAAACTGGATTTGGGTTGAGATTGAAGGATTAGCTTTTGTTTAAGGAAGTAAATGATTAACATTTGAGCTGTTCAATTGTTAATCCATTGTTAATAAAATGTTTACTTGTCAAGAGCAGAATTACTATTCTGGTAACAATTGATTGGAAGGAACAAGAGTTATCAATAAACAATATAACTGAACAATTTCATCAAATGATACAAGAAATGATATACAAAAAACAAGATGATTGTGAATGTTGATTCTGTCAGTAACATTTAACCTCATCCTTGATCTTAATCATATTATTGTTATTTAACATTCAATTTTGTGGTGTGTTTCTTTAAATTGATTGTGATTCCAGTTGATGATCATCTTTTGGTAACCCTTGAAATGATATAAATGTTAATCTACATTTCAATCCTTTTGCTTTCCCATCTCTTCTTGGGTTACTGAACCGATCTTGTATAACATCTCATCATCAGCATGCAACAGCATCTTCCTTGTCTTCCTGGTGGAAAAAGCTCATCTTTTTCTTGTCTAATCAATAACAGTGAATGTAAACAGTCCTTAATGTTTTACTTGAACAGATAATTTAACAGGAATCAAAAAAAAGAGTTTGTTGTTAAACTGTAACACTGTGTTAAAAGATAAACAATTTTCAAATGAGTAATGATGAAGAAGATGAAGATGAAGGCTAAAGATGATTGGGATGAAAGTAGAAACTCACCATTTTGACGGAATCAGCATTTAAAATGATTATAATTGTTGTTGTAATGGGTATAACTGTTTATGGGTTGACCAGAAAATGGGTAAAAATGGTTCAACATAAGTGAACCTAAAAACACAACTCAATGAAAGTTGAATCGGTAATTTTTAGCAACACGATTATCAATGGTAGCAACATTGATAATGATACTAGTTAATTTAGTCAATCAATGAAGCTTAACGGATGAAAATAAAACAATCTAAATATACAAAATCATAATTAATCAAAACGGCCGAAACAAAAGCACACGAAAAACGCATATAAACTTTATCATCTAATTTGTATAAAACTACCATCTCTTGGCTATTTTTGTATCTAATTATTGTTTGGCGAAGACCTGGATATCATCATTGCATGATTCCGATGAACACACATCACCACTTGATAAACCCGAGTCTCGAGGTGTACAGGTTGCTAATTCACACTTTTCAAAGATGAGTGCAAGTAACGGAAACAATGGATGTCTGGAAAAAAGAAAAGGAAAAGAAAAATTAGATTGAGAATATTTTCATGAAATTCATTTGTCAAACTTACCCATAAATTGCATCCTTATCTCGTTTAACTATGTCTGTTCCCATAACATGATTACCTTGATAACCATGGACTGCATTGCCATAGTTAACCGAAGGACCGTATTGAAGGGTCGTCATCGGATCGTAAGGATGCGCCATAACTTACCTTTTACAATATTTATATATTCATGATAGATAATAATAATGAAAATTAACTAATGAATGAAGAAAAATTTTGATGGTAATGAAGGTTTATATGGATTATCTGTAAATTATGTTGCAAACAATTAAAGATGATTGTGTGTTGTTGATGGGTTTTGTTTTTGATACAATTTATGGTTTCACTGAGTTGATGTATAGCCGTGGTAGAACGGTTAATGCTGATGGTTTCTGATTGCTGTTGCTGTTGCTGTTAACTGGTGTTTTTGACGGTATCAATGTTGATGAGACGGTAAGGGTTAATGGTGCTACTGTTGCTATTCATCTTATACAATATACAAGTCAAAAAATTAAATTTTGAGCCAAAATTGTGACCAAACTGGGTTCTAAGTAAAATCTTTTCACAGCTTAAAAGCCATGATTGGACTAAACCACAAAAAATAGACAGAAATTTATCGGAATTAAGGTTACTGAGATCTATTCATGTACATAAATGTAAATACATACATGTAAATGTATGTATTTATTTGCTTTATTTACATGTACATACATGTAAATAAAGCCAAAGAAAAAATGCAGAATCCGTATTTTAAATTATTGAGTTTGGAGGAGTTATAACACTTTTCCAGAGCAAAAAGTATCCGATGAGATTGGATTTTAAATACTTTGTCTTATTATTTACAGTACCAATTACATTTTCAAGTTAACAAGCATCGTATCCAAATTGAATCAATGGGCTAAAATTAAGTCCTAAATACTGACAAATTGATTTGAGCAACTTTCTAAAAACAAACTTAAACCTTGATAAAGTTTAACTCCTAAATTGTAAAAATATGGGAAAACCTTCCGAAAATTACTATTTTTGATTACATTTCTTTAATAATTAGCACTGAATGATGCAGCATAACTAACCAACTGGGTTGAACGAGTTAAAAAGTGCAAAGAAGAAAGTTGTTTAGTAATCAATGAGTTAACCAAATGACATAACCTATTCGAAGAAAGCATGAGACCAATTTTTTGACTGCTGGCATCTTTTTTATCAATTGCTCAAACCTTTCCGTTCAAACGATTTAGAAATGTACGATTCTTACTGTTCAACCCGGTAAATCTAGTTATATTGACTTTACCTGCTTTGGTTATGCTTTCGAGTACTATCGATAAATGGAACTTCTTCTCGATCTCATGAAAATTTCGTTACTCTAGCTGATCGGATTGTCAAGAAAAATAAATTTTACTAATTTGTCTCATCATTTCTTTGAATAGGTTAATGATGATGATGTAAAAAGTGAGATAAATGCAAGTTGATTAACCGTCCATTTAATTACAATTAACAGCAAGCAAATACAATATTTTGAGAAGTTTTGATATTTTTAGTTACTCAGTGAAACACACATAAAATTAATAGATTTTTATAGTCACAGTTTATTAACATCTATTTGATTAACGTTTTTTGTTTTAACTGTTTTTGTTGCCTTTTTATTAATTTTCACAAACAATCAACTAATCATCATGAAGAGCGGGTTAACCTGATTTCCCGGTCAATGTTAGAGACAAATTTATGTTCTCAGTTGATTGCGATTAAAACGCTAATTGTAAAACAGCTGATCCAAGCTCATTGTTTGGCCTCTTCAACATCTTAGTCCAACTGTTTAATTAACCGGATAAATTTTGAGGATGATTATGATGATCAACTTTCTCTTGTTATACTTCTCACCAGGAAATCTCATGTTAACCAGTTTTGACTGTGAAAAAGTTAATTATTATTGAAGATAATCTCTATTGAACCAACACCCAGCGCACAGAATTGAACTGAAACAGGTTAAAGGGAAGAAGAAGAAAGATTACAATTTTTATCGTTAACTTTCAAGATTATGCATGTGTATTGAGTGATTAAAATTAATTTTATATTGATTACTTACTGAATGACAATGACAAGCAGTTGATTGAATGGTATAAAAATAATAACAATTAAAAAGACTGGATTGTAAACAGTTTGTTGACAGTCTAAGTCCAAGTTGAGTTGAAATCAATTGTCAGTCTTTTCTTTGGTTCCATCGCCATTCATTTGTATATTTTAGCTTTTCAAATTCATCAAACTCATGGCCATTCAACTGTAAACAGATAGAATCACAATTAGTAAGAAAATGAAATAAAATCAATTGTGTGGGTTGATTGTGAGTTTGATTTAAAGTTGATTGAATGATCAACAGCTTACTTTTACTTTGGGTAAAGTGAAGATGATCACAATTGTTTGTGTTGATTAAACAAAACTAGTTAACAATTGTTTTAGTGTTGTTAATTGTTTCACCTCAATTTACTTACAATTAGTATCATAAAAATAGGCATCGACCATCTTTTGGTTCAATAATTTCAATTATTCATTCCATTTATGTCCTTTTCTCTGCATAATCAATTGTCCAATTTAATTGTGATTCCTTTTGATCAACCATCAATCATCGGTAAATTTAGATTTAGATGCTAGTGAAAAGTGTAAATGAAATGCGCAAATCAATGAAAGGGAAATTAAATTGGCATTTTGGTTCAATTATAAGGGTATAAGAAAATATCATCACTGTTGTGTTTAAAACAATGTTAACAAACACTTTTAATTTGATTATAAAGTTGATTTGCTTTTTTGGCTGTTCATTTCACCTTTATTTGGTAACGGATAAATTTTTAGCCTTCAAGGTGGAAACTGAAGTCTCCTTTGAATATCCTGAGGACTACGTTTTACCCGATCTTGAGTTATTGGTTCCATTGTCAGATGCAATAAATATTAGATTATTTTGCCATCGATATTCTCATAAATTTGACCAATTTTTCGGGAATATTTCAACTGAACTGAACAGTGGAAAGGAAAACGAAGCGAAATGTTTAACCATTGCGAAAAAAATGCAAACGTTCAGCGAAAAAGTGGGCACCATTTTGACCATCGATGAAATCAAAGACCTTCTGATTGAACCGAAACATTGGGTTAAAACACTGAAGATTGAAGGTTATCCGGGAAATTCATTGAAAAATGATCTTTGCAAGTTGAACTATTATCTCGGCAATACTGACTTTCGGGTTAGATTAAAGTGTAAAGATGGATCAGGTTCACCAGTGACCATTCCCAAGGAAAATTTCATATTGAAAAAGGGAAATTTGCTGCGACTTGAATTAAATTTAACTTCACAGGTTTGGTTAAGTCTGATTGATCCTTCCATTCCAATTGCTGATGATGACAGCTTTGCTACAATCATATTTGGTAGAGAAAACCACATTTTGACCCATTACATTCGTGCTTATCGAGTAGTTACAAGCTATCTTGAGCCACCATACGAAACAGCATGTAAAAATTATCATCGGAGTACACTTTTTGCTAATTGCATCAACGCTTACCTCCAAACTACTTCAAAACCAGGTCTATTTCCAGATACAATTGTCAACCTGTCTGAACCAAACTATCCAACCAATTTATCCTTTCTTTCCTTGGACGATGAAAGATTTAGAGGCAAAAAACTTGGCCAAATTAAGGTGTTTAAAAAGTGTCTCAATCTGATTACGGCACCTCAATGTACCAAGATTGGTTTTTTAATTGACCGAGAATATTATTCAGATCCAATCTCCAGAACTGGGCTGGTTGAAATTATGGTAAAACCATTTAAAGATCCTGATGTCTTTTACATCTCCTATCCAGTCATGTCAGAGGTTGAGTTCATCATCTACATAGGGTCAATACTGACAACTTGGTTTGGTATCTCAATTTTGGACCGGCTTCAATACACTATTCACGTCAGTTCACTTGTTTTACCCAAATTACGTTCAATCAATTTCATCTACCGCAACCGTCGTGGTAATCCAATCAATTGTATATCAAATAGAGTCACCGTTCAAAACCAGAATCCACCAGTGAGTTGAATAAACCTGTATAAACACAAAACAAAATAAAATTAAGATAGTGCAACAAACAATGTAGACATAATGTTTTCCAAGTAAGCCACATTAATTTGGAATTTTTCGTGATCTTAATTAATTGAACAAGATTTGATATTTTTAACGTTTTGTCCGAAAATGATTAGATCATTATGGTGATGATTTAAACCGGACTCGGCTCAATTTTAGTAATTTATCTCATCACCAATTCCATGGCGATTACGTATGTTACCAGCTTTGTGATCCTCAATAGTCTTTTGATTTCAAGTGTACCAAGCAATACAATCATCTTTAATTTGGTTTGATTGGATAATTGATTTGCTCTAGCAGATTTGTCACCATTTTGCAACTGCAAAATCAGTACGCATTTTCAGTTGACTCAATGAAGCCGCAAACTGTTTGACAAATAAAGTTGAGATTGTTTTGGCAATTAGATCGTGAGTTTGTTAACTGAGAAGCTGATATCTTAATGTCAATTCATTTTGTCTGACAATTGTGAGATTTGATCTCAATTTAAGTCTAAATTTTTGATTGAACATCTCAGCCTACAATAGCAGCGCAAAATTAATGTTTCATTTTTCTTTGGTGATTTATATTGGAAAAAAATCCGTTTCATGTTTCATATAAAATTGTTTCATCACCATTAACATGGTGACCTTAAATTAAACAGCTAACTAACTGGGTAACGTGCCATTTAAGTTAATTTATCATGTTGAGTTACCATCTATTGGAATAGAAGTCAATGGGCAAAAGCCTTTGGCAATAACGAAAAGATATTATACATAAATAAATATCAAATCTCAATAGAAACTATTAATTATTACCACTTTAAACCCTATTTTTTCCTACCTTTAACAACCAATGTCAATTGAGAACAATCAAATATAAGGTTAACCCATTAATAGCCCACTAAAAAGGTACACAATTTAACCCTTCTAACTAAATACAATTAACTCTAAAAGTATACACAAAACCTGAAAGAGTTGTGGGTAAAATGGTGTAGAAAGCAATTTACCCTTTTCTTAACCTAACCCAAACAGCAAACCTATCAACAACTCAAAGCAAATTCAATTAGTTTAAGATACAAAATACTACATGTATCTTAATCAATCAATGATCTGGACGATGATTGAAAATGATAAAACAAAATTAATTATCAAACTAAATTGTTGATAGACTAATTACTTAACCAATTTAGCAAAAAAAGAAACAAAATAAAACAAAAACAATCATCTTATAAAAACAATGTAATGGCTAACAGTAAAAAGAGTGTCTTTACCTTATTAATCAGAATTTCCTTGGTTTCTTCTGGTTTTCTTTGGTAATTGATTGGGTTAACCCTTGGGCAGTCAAGTTTAACAAGTAAATTATTTATCCACTAAATACTGTTAATAATAAAATAATAAACACAATAAATTAAGAAAAGCCAATTATAATAACCAGAGTAAAGATTGGATTAACCGGTAAAAATAAGAAACTGTCTCAATGCAGCAACGTGGTATATCACATGTCAATATTTTCCCGCTAGTTTTAAGCTTAAGACAAGCCTCTCTTAATCGCCAGTTTTATGTCTCACCTTATTATGTGCTTATTTTATTGTGATTATTTTCATCATTTCATGTTATGTACTTTTTGTTTATTCATGTAAAATCGAGTGAAGTTACCTTTCAATCAAAAATCACCAATTCAAGTGTTATTCAGGAAGGATTTAGCTTCTTTGTTTCCTTCACTTTGCATCCAATTTGCATGAAAAGCAAAAAAGACAATTGATTCAAATGCGTGGTTACACCTTTTTCATCAACTTTATTCCTCTTCTGTTTGTTCATAATCATATATTCTTCAAATTTTGTAGTCTTTTTTTTCTTGATGATGATGGGTTGATGGTTGCTTGTTGACTGATTTTTTGGTGCTATTTTTTTGCACCTTACATTCCCATACACAATGTTACTTGTAGGAATTTCAAGGATTTTACAGTCTGTCTACATTACCATCTTCATCGAATCTTTTCTTTCTCTCACTTTTTTGCATCATATTCTGATTTTTTTGCTGCTGCTGCAGTTTCTGCTACTGCTGATGAGGTACTTAGCCAAGTTATCCGGAAGTTGAATGGTAAATCAGATTGTTTTCTCGCTGTTTGTCTTTCATTTGATTTGTTTCGGTTTTGCATTTTTTGTTTTTTTTCTTCTCTCCTTTTACTTCTAGAATAGGATTGCTGATCATCCCCAGTATCATCCGGAAATTTGTTTCAATTAAACTTGAAATTTTTACCTACTAACGTGGAGAATGCAATTTCAAGCTTGTTGATACAACTGTTGTTGGTAACTGTTGATACAAGTTACTGTTACAATTGGATCATTATTGGCCAATATTGTATCATGTAAAAAGCGATCAAAAATACAGTTACATTTGATTATTTTTCCATTAACTGAGATTCGTCAAAGAGCAGCTCTTGAACCGACAAAATGATTCCGACATGTTGACTGATGTGTCGATGAGATTTAACGAGAAATATCGATTTCAATGATAAATTATCAATATCCGGGGCACAAATAGAAAAGTATATTAGTCGAAATAGCTGGAAAAGTGTATCTGATCCTAAAGCAAAAGTTGTTTTCAATCGTAAGACAAACCAAAGGCTGGAAATCGACAGATGATCAAGTTCAGATTAAAAAGAATCAGAATTGGATAACCACATAATGGCAAAAAATAGCCAAAGTATCATGTTAATGATAGTGATGATAATGATGATGCGTAACCAAGTTTGGCCTAAAGCTTATAAAGTAGATGAAAATAAAATCCAAAATCCAAAAGGCAAAGTGTAAAAGGCAGCATTGAAATACACGTTTCCTCAAAACGCCCAAACACAAAATTCTGATCGCATGGGCTTGGCTGATTGTTGAACAAAAATTACATTCACAAGAAAAAGACAAGAAAGATTGAAATATTAAAATCAGGAAGATATAGTGATGAACAAAGAATAATTTGTCAAAATTAAAAACAATCGAGAAGAAAAATCAAAACTCACCATTTAATGTTGTCCAGCGTGAAGCAAAAATGAATCATCCAAATCATGTGCTAAGCTTTGGCGCTTACCACGAATGTTGAAGTATAAAAAAGCGCCTAATCCAAACGCAAATCTGAACCAGATTTTTTTTCCACTGATTTAATTGCAACATTAATCAACTCGTCTTATTCATTGCAAACAAAATAAATCATATCAAGTTAAAGTAATTAAATTAATTTGCTAAAAGTTAACAGAATAACTCTCAAGGAATAGATCAGTCAACCACAGATTCAACTGAATAATAGGAATCAGATAACTAATACAGATGGAGATTGAAAAATCCTGGTTAACATGTAAATTAAATCTGTTGAAACTCTTGAATGGCCTGAATTTTGTTAATTTAAATTGCCTTTGTAACACATTCACATCAAAAAAATGAAATGTCTTTTGATTATCAACTGGTTAATGGCGATTAATCTTTACGGCTAAAGCTGCAAACCCAATTTTCACTTATCAATAGCTGATCAAGCCGGCGTCTTTAATATCATCTGTGAGGTTATTACATTAAACCTAAACTAACCCTTTACAATTAACAATTTAAGTATGATTGTGATAATTGTGATAAAACAAGAATTACAATTTTTGATCAACCAATCCTTCAAAAATCTAAATTAATTACAAAGTGGGTTTAAATAATCGGAGAAACCAAAATGACCAAAAAAGTAAGCCTTATTATTGTTTTTGCCATCTCACTGTGTTCATCGTAACCAAGCCTTAAACCATTTCATTTCTTAACCCAAAACCTTTTACACTATTATTTGATGAAAATTAATCGTTAATAATCAACTTAAATTGTTGATTTTGCTTTCTTTAAACATTCACTTTACAATCATTTAAAGGTAGGTTAATCAGGTAGATGAAATGATCTATTAATGTAAGTCTAAAAACACAATTAACTTCCTCTTCCTTATCCATTCCAAGCCTATTAACATTCAATTTTACCCGTTAATCTGGCCATTTGTTGATCTCAACAATTTAACACTATTTATAAATTAAAACAATCTATTTTGATGCAAGATTGAAGCAATCAATTAATCAATTAATGATGAAAAACAAGTCAGTTTAACCTGTACAATCAGATTTACATGAAAACCTTTTGTAAACAAAGTCACAAGCCTTTGCATAAATTCAAGCAAAAAATGGCTTAAAGCATAAATCTTAAAAAAAGAATGTAATTGATCTGAAAAATCCTAATCAAAAGTAAAACCAAATAATTTCAATTTCAATTTTTAAACTAATCAATCAATTGAAAATTTAAATAACCAAAAAGTCTAAACCAAAATTAAGCCAAATGATGGCAAATCAAGTCGAAACGAGGTAAACATGAAAAAAGCGTAAACCGTTAACATTACAACAACAATTTAAATTAAAGTGTATATATTTTTAGCTTTTAATTTTACCATTTCCAAGTGAATCTCAATTTTAATCTTGCAATTGATTAACCTTAATTAATTGTAACAAACATTTAACAACAAAAAACAACAAAATGTGTGAAAAGCCAGCCAAAAAAGCTGTTCAACTTGATTAAACATTTTCAGCTTGGCGCTTGTTGCCAAATGCAATCTAATCAAATGTAAGGTTAAGTTCAAGTTCATTGAGTTTATTGTAATTGTAATTGTCCTAAATTGTCTTAAACAATAAACAATGAAAGTGGTCAATATAAAGTTAAATATAAATCACTTTTATCCAAAATAAATCATCAAATTGCTGGGTTAAATGGCGAACCAAATTCAGGTAAAAAAACAAGTAAAGAATTGAAATAAAAACGATAATTCACATGAAAATTGGTTGATTATGCATAACATCTGTAATAGCCAACTCTTTCTGATCAGTGTTTAATAATCAATGACTTCATTTTACCAGTTCATTAACTTTCATTGAATTATATCATTGAAGAGGTAAACGTTTCTAGTATTGCCTTTTCAAGGCAAACATGAACAATCAAACTTGAGTCTTTGAATCATCATTTTCATCATGTAGACTCTTCTAGTCGTGTTAACCATCATCTTCATGATCATCAGGTTGGGTTTGATATTCATCTTCATCATGTTTAGGATGAAAGTTACAGCAAATTACCCATTCAATGGATTCTGAATGCCTTTACCCATTAAAAGCACAATTACAATTTTTACTTTTCATGTATCAACATTATTCAACTGACAATCATGTAAATTGAAATAAAATAAAATTAAATCGAAATGAAAATTTGCTATTTTTTCAATTTTAATTTTGCCTCGCTTTGATGGACGGCTGTTTTGTCACGTGGTTAATGCTGATGAAGCATTTTTGTTACATTGGCTTTTGTTTAATCCAACTGGTTGAGTTTTCATTTTAGTTAATTTTATTTTGTGTCTAATTGTTTAATGTTTAGCTCTAATTTCAATGAGTATCTGGTTTATCATTAACTTTCAATTTAACCTGTACGTGATGTTGTTTCTTTTCAATTAAACACTATCAAGTTTCTCCTGTTTTTGTTACATTGCCTTCATGATGGTCTGTTATCTTTCAATCCATCTCCAGATCATTAGTTTTTATATCCATTTCAAATGACTTGTTTTAATCATCTTCATCCTAACTGCTATATTTTATATCATCGCCATCATCGTAATCATCGCAACATCTAGTTTCGTCTATCAGTTTCCTAAGCCTTTATTTGTTTTCTTTTTGCGTGTATTCTGCTAATCCAGTAGCTTGTTGATTTTGTTTTGGTTTTTCATGTTATTTTTTTCTACTAATGTTCATACTCTTCTCATCTTCACCATCATCTCATCATCATCATTTTTATCTTCATTGACCGCCCTGTTTGTTTTGTTGAAACATTTTTTTATCATCCTTATCTCAACTTAGGATGATCATGTTGATACTTATTCACCTCAACGCCTCTAGGAACCTCAATTTTTCATTTACCTGGAGGCAATTTTAACCTAATATTTGCTGTTTATGTTTACTTTGTTGGTCTTTTTCATGATAATGTTTATGAGGCATTAGCCATTATTTTGTTTTTTCTTGCTGCTTCTTCATCATCATTTTCATCATCTCTTTTGTCTTCTCTTTTATTTACCTGCTTCAGAACTAAAGATAAAATTAATTGTTCTCTCAAATTAACAGTTAATCAAGCTGTTAACACTCTTTTAAGCAACAAAAAAGACTGCAACATTTAACTTTAATGGCTGGCGTCAATATTAATTCAAGAAAAGATTGCCTGTTATGCCTGGAAATATCGAAAAATGATAGACAAAAGAAAATCTGAAATCCTGGATCATCCTGTTGATAATCTTTCAACCGCATCACCATTAACATTTAAATCATGTCAAGATTATCAAATATTTAACCGTTAAAGATGACAATTAACACTTGCCGAAATTTCAAGGTTAATCCTGTTAATTAACAAGACAAGACGCATTAACGATGAAAACATAATCATAACCGTTAGGCGTCTACACCAGATTGTCAACACTAACTGTATTATTATCAACGATTCAGCAATTGTCTGGACATTCGTTTCAACCTTATCATTATCATTATGATATTTAGTCCAGACTAACCATCAAAACTTAAAAACCTGGAATCATAATATTCACGATTAACTTGCATCATCATCAACAATCAACACCACCAGCTATTATATTCAATTCAATGTCTTTTCTGGCTTAAATTGAAAAAAGACATTGTCTAATGGTAATCTCGATCTGCAGTGTTTTAGCTGCAAACATATGAAATATGAACATCAAGAACAACACAAACGCCAAAAAAAGAGGTCTTCCGTCATTATTAACATTATAATGATTATTATTAAAAGTATCATTATCATTAGTGTTATGATTGTTACCATTATATACATACAGAGCCATAATGAAGTGAAGGTTAAACACTTCTCACGATAATTTCAAGTTAAATTATTATCATTAAGCTTGAAAAGACAAAAGCAATTGACAGTTTTTGCAAAAGCAAGCAAAAAAAGATGGATACAATAAGCAAGACAACATACAAAAAATGGATAGCTCTGGAAATGATGGCGATGCTCAGTCTTGCAGGATAAGGATCAACAAGGCATAACATGGGATGAATTGGCTGAATCAAAATTACATTTCTCAATTGTTTAAATGATTGCTGATGAACAATTGAACATTAACATGACAAAACATTCACATAAATCAGATTACCATAAACATGGATGCTGCCTGGCTGCCTGATTCAATAATATTTGCAAAAGGAATCAAAAGAGTAATGATTATTAATAATATTGGTTAAACTCGCTTATCAAATTTACATTTCCTTAAACTCACACAGCATTAATCATTTGGAAAATGATTTAATTTCGTAATTGCTGTAAGACGGGTTGATTGACTGAAAATTGGCCAAACTGAGTTAATCTAATGAATGGTCTTAATCTCAATGGATTTTAACCTTAAATCATTTTAATACGTGTTTATCATCATTTTTGATTTGATCTGGCAAAGATTAAGGCTGAAAGTTACACTTTTTGGCAACCATCCAAAGCACATTATTTAACCCATTACAAGTTATTCATGATAACATCATAACTGAAAATATTGAATGAACATAATGATAAATTGTTATTTTTCATGCTGACTTCAACTTACAATTTCCTTACAATTCAATCCTTCAATGACTTCTGTATCCAATGCGAGTCAATATTTTTGTACAAAATTTTCACCATGAAAAGTAAAATTGATTTCTTTATTCATGGAAACAATTGGATGAGAAAAAATTGAAGTGATCATTTTCAGATAACAATTATCTCATTTACAAAAGATGATTTGACATGAATGATCAACCTTTCAAATGTTAACCTCTTCAAATATGAATCTAAATCATAAATTGTCATTCAAAATTTCTAATAATATTCCCAATCTTTTCATCATTTAATATTGAGATCACATCATTTCTAGTTGTGATTAAGATACAAGTGCAATTAGATCATTAGATTGATCAGAAGCAATACAAGAACCAATCGAATGATGAAAACAATTACAAATCTTGTCACTTATTTTTCCATTTTTAAATCACTGAAAGAATCATTTGTTAACAACAATTTAAACCTTAAATAAAGCTTATTAGATGCAATTGAAAGTTAATTTAAGTGGAATTTAATTGTTTGCACTTTACAAAAAGACATTTTACAAAATTGAAAAACATGGAATCAAAAATTTCCATTCTAATTTAGTTCAATATTTTCCAAAAACTGTTTAATCAACTCTCAATCTTTAATCAGCTTTCAGATTTAAATATACTCCAAGAAATTAAAGAAATTGGAAACTGAATTGATCGTTATTTCCTAAAAATGGGAATCAAATGATGCTTGGAAATACTCAATACTAATCATCTACAAATTATCTG